TGAACTATCGCTCTGGCCCCGGCTACTGTCACTTTTGATATTCTATGATTGAGGTCTTTTCAGAGGTTCCCATGACTCCTATTTTGACAGGAAACCGCACAGGCGAAAGTGTAAACACCACACATCTCCCGTGAGACACCAGAGCGCTGCTCTCTGTGACACAAAGACCTGTGTTGTTGAAAGTGTGTGTGTGTGTGTGTGTGTGTGTGTTGTGCATTTTCATTTTGGTGAAAGGGAGGATTCAAAAGGCAATATTTTGTATTAAAAAACTTTCTTCAGGAAAAATGAGAGGCAAGAAGGTTGATGATTATAAAGGAAGAATTTATTTATTTGTTTTTATTTTGGGACCACACCTGGCAGTGCCTAGGGGTTACTCCTGGCTCTGCACTCAGAAATTGCTCCTGGAGGTATCTGGGGACCATACAGGGTGATGGGGACCAAACTCTGATCGGTCACATGCAAGGCAATTACTCTACCCACTGTACTGTCTCTTAAAAAGGAAGAAATGAGTCAGACTGGGTGGGTGTGGGAGGGGGCAGCCAGTCAGGCTAGCTGTCACGAAGGAGACCTTTTCTGTAGGCATTGCCTTAATTCTATGTAAAAAGTCACGAAGTCATTAGGGAATTCCCCTTCTTCACACTAACCTCTTTCACTACTGAATATACATAAAAATATTTTAAAGGAGACTTTAGTGCTAAATTAGAAAACATGCAAACATAAGTCAGCTAGTTTAACTGTTTACGACCTGTATCTTTTTGGGTGGGGGTGGGTTTTTTGGGTCACCCTCAGCAGTGCTCAGGTGATATTCCTGGCTCTGTGTTCAGGATTTGCCCCCGGAGGGACATGTGAAACAGGGTCAAGGTTGCCACAGCGGCGTGCAAGGCCCACCATGATGTTTTGTGTGATTTGGTCTTGGGGCCACATCTGGAGGTGCTCAGGCCTTATTCCTGATCCTGTGTCCACAGATCACTCCAGATAGAGCTTGGGGCAGCCAGGGACTGAACCCCAGTTGGCTGTGTGTCGGCAAGTACCTTACTTGCCTGTTCTTTCTCTTTGGCCTCTTCACAAAGTATTTTAACATAAGGCTATTAAATGTATGATAACTGGATAATTGGGTCAGTTTGCATTTTAATCAGTTTATACAAAAACAGTACATAGCAATGATTAAATGAAGTACAGAGGGCAGTCTGATAGAGGCAAAGTTCCATCACTTCATATTCAGAAAGCTGCTATTTAGTTTCTACTGACTGGTGCTGGGGAGATGGCTCGGTGAGCTGGAGGGCAGGTTCTGCACGCAAGAGGCCCAGGGTTGATCACTGGCACCTCAGATGGTCCCCTGAGCACTGCCAGCGGTGAACCCCAGCACTGGGCCAGAAATGGTCCTTGAGCACCACTGGGTGTGGCCCCAAAACTCAACAGGAAGAAAGTTTACATTATAAAAAGGAATAGGGAGATAGCTTTAAGGGCTGGAACACAGGTTTGTCAAGCACAGTACCCTGGGGTTGACCCCCAGCACCAGATGGCCTCCTAGTGTGGCAGAATATTGCTCCTGGATTCCCCAGCACTGCTGGAGAGACCCCAAAACAACTAAGCATTTATGCTTGAGGTCTGGGGGGAATTGCTGAAAGGGCTAGAGTGTGTGTCTTGCATGTAGGAGACCTGGGTTTGATTCTCCCAGTACCAAGCCCATAATAACCCCTGAACACTGCCAAGTGTGGTCCAAAAAACAATTGAAACTTATACTTGAGTTATAAAATAATAATCATTATATCAAATCAGGTACAAGTGTTATTTTTCAGATGAAAAACCTACATTGGCAATTACACATGGTTCAGCCTGTTTCTGAGATACAATAAATAGTTGGATAATTGTTAATGCCTTTTAGACATTTTCTACTAAACCCAGAATTTTCCTTACCACACCGATCAAGGAAACATTATCACAGTAAGCCAAATTATAGTTCAGCATGATTTCTTTGCAAAAGGCTATGAGTTCCGTTTAGCTTGTTACTACAGTGGATTTTTTTCATCTGTAGACATTAAGTCTTCTAATGTGCGAATCATTAAGCACTCAACTGTCTTTGTTCCAGCAACGTTTGCCCAGCGGTGAAAAACATGATAAAACTCATGCTTCTCGGCAGAAACCAGGTGGAGGGAAATCATGCGAGGTAGTGCTTGGGGGTGGATGGGGGACTATTTCTAAAATGAGGATTTAACAAAAGTTCAATCCTGGCTTCATGGTGTGTTCACACAAGAAACCAAAGCTTCTCAGTGAACTGCAGGCAATAAGGGTTTCACATTGATATCATCGTCCAAAATCCCACACGAGTATCTAAATGTCAAGGATCAAAACTCAAAAGTCTGGGGGGAGCTAGTCAAACTTGAGTCTCTAAATCCCATGGACCAGTATTATCATTCCCACATGTTATCGTTCATAATGCCTTCATCAAGCGAGATTGCTCTTGGTGTATTTCCCCCCCCCCCCCCCCCCACCTCCCCGAAGCTCTGCTTTCCAGAAATCTTGATTACCATGTAGGAGAACCATTTAAAAAGACATGCTTCATGCTTGTTGACTGAGGGAAAAGACATGAAAATTGAAACTCCTGTTAAGAAAACTGGGGGACTACAGGGGGTTTCCCTCTCTTTTGTTGTAAAAACGAATGAAAAATGTAAGCCCACACACTTTTGTGCTATCATACTAAAAATAAAACACTCAAACCCATGGCTATTTGGAGCAGTGAGGGAGCTCAGAGTTGCATCCATTGGCATTTGAAGTAGGTGCAAAGGGTTTAAGTGACGTGCCCAATGCCCATGGGGATATGAGAAGAAAAAAAATAAGAGCTCAGTTGGCTCCCACATTCTCAAAGCAACATCAATGGTTTCTGCAGATACCATTCTAACAAGGTATCTTAATTCCACCCCACCCCCTGTTGAAAGCTGTCAAGTACAATCTGACATAACTCACCCTCCAGCCAATTGCCCTAGAACTGCATTGGGCAGGCGTGGCCTAGACCCACTCGTTATCCTAGGGCCATCTCTCCAGCTCTGCAGAAGTATCACTTGCATCACCTCAGACTTCAGAATCACAGTAAATATCCTGACACCTTGCTCAGGCCCTGTTTTCCATCTCTATTTCTTAGCACCTTCGCCACCCGTTTTCAGAACTACTTTTTGGAAGCAGTGCCCAGGGGCCACGGCCAGTGACTCAGGCAATTGAATCAGGGGTTCAGTGCTTGGACCCAGGATGCAGTGCTGCTCAGGACCACCAGGGCAGGGCCAGGTGATACTGTGGGTGGGCCATGCAGTGCTGGGATACAAACAAGTTCCAGGGCTTGCAAGGCAGGTGCAAGGCAGGTGCAAGGCAGGTGCAAGCTGTGCTGCCAGGTCCCCAGTCCCTCTGGCCAGTTTTGATTATTGAATATACCCAAGAGGCTGGTTTGTTTGGATGACTCGTTACTTTGCCCTTCAATGCCCGACACCCAGAAACACCAATCTTATGAATTAGTTGTTTCACAAAGAAACAGGAGACAGATTTTGATGCATTATTTGGAAAAACATTATCAAAGGTTATTCCCACCCAGCACCAAGCTTCCTTTTTCCCTCTTGGCACCCCAGGGGTTACCAACTAAACAGCTGTAGATTCTTTATAAATTCTAACTTGCCTGTAAAGAGAAACTATATGCATGTAAGTGCAACACTTAAGTTTCTTTAGTACTTTTGTTCAAAGTTAACTGAAAGGTCACAGACTTATTCATGTGGCTGTGTGAATGTACAGATGTATTTCATTCAAGGATTTTCATCTGTGACTTGACTAAAGAAATGGGGCTCTTCAAGTATCTTGTACGAAAGAATTTAGTTTTGCAATATTGCGCTGGGTGAGACAGGGTCCCCCGCATACATCCTTTAGCTATACCATAGCGAGTGGCCTCTCTAAGTGGTCACTCACTCACTATGGTAACAGTGTCCTATACTGGTTTTGCATACGAATATTTAGTGCATTAAAAACACTGAGGCTTATTTTTTCAATTTTTTTTATTACATTTGGACCTTTAAGAAACATATACCATCAGATATTCCACTATTTAGTAAAAATCTACCCTAGTTTTGGGAAGTGTATGTGTCACAAACTATTTTGCTTCTAGTCTTCACAACTTTTTACTAAGAGTTTATCAAAAAGGTAGGTTCTGATCTACAAGGATCCTGAACCTTGAGGTTTGAAATGTTTTGATTATTGTAAAATAATTTCAAACATGTGAACTTAATTCCCCACTGTCTAGAATAGGCTAATCATTTGGAAATTATCTAGTCCATTGCAAGAATATTCAATTTCCTCCAGCTTTGTGATGTCTTTGGAAAACTCGGTTAAAAAGACACCCCCCCCCAATACAATAAAGATGAAATTAAGAACACAGCCAATGTTAATTGTAACCAGAAGCAGCACTGATGAGGCTCATGTGTCACGCTCACTTGAATGAACTACTTCAAAGCAAGGAAGTAACTATGGAGATATTTTTTGGATCAATACAATCCAAATGTAGTTGCAGGTACACTAAACTCTGTAACACAACTATTGGTATCTGATACTGATTAAACATTAAGGAAGAGTAAGTAACCAAATACATACTTAGACATGATCGCGTTTCTCGAGAAGCTACTCTTTGTGAAGTCAGCAGGAAGGGGGCTTTCGGGGAGCCGCTGACAGGGGCTGAGGTTTAAAGCTACGGCTTGGGTTAGCACCCGAGTGAGCGGTTAGGAAGGCATTTGTAAGAGCAGATTCTGCAGCATCAGAGGTGAGCTCTCTAAAAGAGGTGGGTGTTTTCTCAGTCGTTCCAAATCCTCAGGCTTTCGGCAGCTGAGGGCCAGAAATAAGATCCAAAGCAAAGAACCATCTTCACACTTGCTGAAGGAAGAGTGACAGTGTCTGTCCCTTCCTGGTGCCGAAGGGTCCAGAAGCCTTTGGTGGTGTGATGTCGACCAAAACATATCAATCCACAAACCACATAACACCATTAAAACTCAAAAACTTTTTTTTTTCTCATTTAAAAAAAGCATTTAGAACACATAAAACAAGGCAACGTTTATTCTTTTTTCTCATCCTCTGGGATGGGGTCCGCAGGCGGCTCCTCCACGGTGGCGCTGTTGCTCTCCGACCCCGTGTTACTGTCGCTGGTCCCTTCCTCCGCCATACTGTCCACCCCCTCCTGCCCGCTCTCCTTGTCCTCAGGAGTCGAGGTGCCCTCCTCTCCGTTCTGCTGGCTCTCCGTAGTTTCCTCCAGGTGGGTCTCCTCTGTGAGCACAATTGTCACCGTCACTGTCAGTTCCCAGACCAGACGAGGCATCTCTGACTTATGCAGAGGATGCCACGTGGCCACACCCCACGCCCCCCAGGCACTTTTTTTTGGGGGTGTGTGGGGGGGGTCACACTCAGTGATGTTCAGGGGTTACTCCTGGCTTTGTACTCAGAAATTACTCTTGGCGGTGCTCAGGGGACCATATGGGATGCTGGGAATCGAACCCGGGTCGGCCACGTGCAAGGCATATGCCCTACCTGCTGTGCTACCACTCCAGCCCCCTACCTGCACTTTTAAGTATATTTAAAACAATCTATGGTTTGACACCAACTTGTTTTTTGTTTATTTGGTTTTTGGGCCACACCCAGCAGTGCTCAGGGCTGACTTCCTGGCTCTGCGCTCAGGAATTAACACCGGGGCCGGACTAGGGGGACCCATACAGGATAGCCAGGCATCAAACCCGGCTGGCTGCATGCAGGGCGAGCATCCAACCTGCTGCACTATTGCTCTGGCCCCTTAAGAATATCGTGAAATAAAAATGTTGATTATAGGTTGACATGACAGTTTACAAGATTTACTAGATCTGGTCAATATATTTCTAATATGAACTTCACTTGTTTTGCCGTCCTTCACACGGCAAGGGGCTTGGAGAGCTGGTACAGGAAGGTAAGGCACAGGTCAGGCACGAGGCTGACCCTGACATGGTCCCCAGGTACCAAGCATGCTCGCAGCACCGCCTGCTTATAGCACCCAGGGCCCCCAAACACCAGTCCCCTCGCTGCAAAGTCACAAATAGAAAATTTCTAATTACTGTGATTTACTGTAATTATACTGAACAACGTTTTGCAGTGCTTTGGGTTTAGTAAGTGGTCTGGAGATAATTATCTTAGATAATTTTTAGAAGCCATATTGGGCTGTTTCTGTAAAAAGTTAGGGGCATGAAGTTTTTGCTCTAATAGCCTCAAGTAATGTTTTCTGTCTCCTTCACCCCACCTAGGTAAAGGATAAAATCTGAGTCAAGATCTACACACATCTTCTATTCACAGATGACAAAACAGGCAAAAAGTCAACGTTTTCTCTAGTTGCAAAATGAACAGAGAATCAGGCTGCAGCTTTTAAACAATTGGTTTAACCACAAAAATATGCGCTCACCCCAAATTTGTTAAGATAAAAAACACGTTCATACAAAACAGATAAAGGCTCAAATAACGAAACTTTAAAACCTGACTATCTGAGACATCAATCTGCTGAATTAAATTCTGTAGAAATTCCTGGTAAAGACATCTATATTCCCTTAAATGTTTTCCAAATGTCAATCAGAACTTTTTTTTTTTTTGGTGGGATCTAGGGGAGGAGGTAGCGAGGTTTGGGCCACACCTGGGAGTACTCAGGAGACCATAAGGGGTATGGGGAAGAACCTGGGTCAGTCATGCCCAAGATAAGTGCCTTAACCTCTGGATAATCTTTCCTGCCCTCCTGTAATTATTTTTGTCTTAGTTCTTACTACTGGTCAGTCAGAACCGAGGTAAGCCGTGAGGAAAATAATCTCAGAATTTCAAGTACTGATCTATTTCTTTTTGTCTTGGGGCCACACCAGGCATTGCTCAGGGGTTACTCCTGGCTCTGCACTCAGGAATTACTCCTCGCAGTGCACAGAGGGCCATATGGGATGCTGGCGACAGAACCTGGGTCTGCCACGTGCAAGGCAAGCACCCTACCTGTCTGCCGTACTATTACTCTGGCCCCATGGAAAGGATCCTTAACCATCTAACCACACCATCACTCTTTGCATTCGCAAGTCAGAACACGACAAGACTCAATCTGGGCAAATAACCAAGACCTCAATACTGAGCTCTGCTGTTTTGTACTGTGAGAGTAACTTCTCAGTTAACTCATGATCAAGATTAGATTTGGAAAGGAAGGGTCAGAGAGACTCTACAGGGGTTAAGGTGCCTGCTGATCCCGGCACCACAGATGGTCTCCTGAGCACCCCCTGAGTACAGAGTCAGGGGTAGTCCTTCCCTCAGCACTGACAACTGACAACAGAGATTCAATGCCCCTGTTCCTCCAAATATATATATATATATATATATATATATATATATGGGCTGGAGCGATAGCACAGCCGGTAGGGCGTTTGCCTTGCACGCAGCCAACATGGCCAACCCGAGTTCGATTCTTCCGTCCTTCTTGGAGAGCCTGGCAAGCTACCGAGAATATCTTGCCTGCACGGCAAAGCCCGGCAAGCTCCCCATGACGTATTCGATATGCCAAACACAGTAACAACAAGTCTCACAATTTTTTGTGAGATGTTACTGGTGCCCGCTCGATCAAATAGATGAACAATGAGAGGACAGTGTTACAGACTGAAGAGGTCATACAGTGAATAACTCAAGAGGCAACTGTGTTTTCTAAAAAGCATTTAGAGGGCCAGACTGATAGTACAGTGGGTAGAGCTCTTGCCTTACCTGTGGCTGACGCAGGTTTGAACCCTAGCACCCCATATGGTCCCCCCAAGTTGGCCAGGAGTGATCCTTGAGCACTGGTGGGTGCGGACCCAAAATAACAAAACAAACCATACCAAAAAATACATAGAAAAAAAAATACCTCAAGACCAAAAATATCCTTCTTGGCAGGTCAGGTGCTTGCCTTGCACATGACAAACCCAAATTCAATCCCTGGAATCCCATATGGTTCCCCGAGTCTGCCAGGACTGAGCACAGGTAGGTGTCCCCCCAAAACAAACTAGCACTGTAGCACTGTCCTCCTGTTGTTCATTGATTTGCTTGAGCGGGCACCAGTAACATTCAAGCACGGCGGCTGTGCAGGTGAGATACTCTCGGCAGCTTGCTGGGCTCTCCGAGAAGGGTGGAGGACTCGAACCTGGGTTGGCTGTGTGCAAGGCAAATGCCCTACACCCCTACCCGCTGTGCTATCGCTCCAGCCCAAAACAAACTAAACCAACCAAAATAAATAAATAAATACATACATACATACATATATAAATAAAGGCATTTAGAAAGAAAAACCCAAGTGGAAGACAGCTCTGAGAACCATTGCTACTGACTCGGGTGTCGACTGGGTTACCTGTCTCCATTGGAATGTTCTCGTCTTCTTTCTTCTCCTCGGTCTTCGCCCCCTGCTCCTCCTCAGGGGCGCTGTTGTTCTGGCTGCGCTCGGCTTGCTCCGCCGCCTCTTTCTCCCTTTCCTCCTGCCTCTTCCGTGCCTGCTCCTCTGCCTGGGCAATTTCGGCTGCTATTTTTTCCATATCCACTTCTACTTTCAAACCGCACAACTGAGAGAAAACACACACAGAACCTCGCTTGGTCATGTTTGAACTACAGCCAGCACTTCAAAAATCACTTTACTCAGCTACAAACTATGTACATATAGATTGGAGGGTGGTGGAAGGTGGGGAGTTTGACAAAGCCCCTGAAACACTTGTGCTTTCAGGCAGAGGGTTGTGCTAGTAGAAAAGTAACATCAAATATTATAGAACAGCTGGTGAGGTAATCCCCACCCCGCTTTTTGGTGGTTTGGGCAACACCCAAGTAGTGTTCAGGGCATACTCCTGGCTCTGCACTAGGGTAACCATATAAGGTGCTAGGGATCAAACCTGGGCTGGCCATGTGCAAAGCAAGTGCCCTGCCCACTGTACTATCTCTTAGGCCCCAAGTGAGGTAATTCTTGAGAGTACTGGATAACAAAAAAGGCTTCTATTTTAGGTCACCGGGCTGGAGCAATAGCACAGGGGGTAGGACTTTTGCTTTGCACGTAGCTGACCTGGGTTTGATTCTTCAGCCCCTCTCAGAGAGCCCGGCAAGCTACCAAGAGTATCTAGCCCACACGGCAAAGCCTGGCAAGCTACCCATAACGTATTCGATATGCCAAACACAGTAACAAATGTCACATGGAGACGTTACCGGGCCCACTCGAGCAAATCGATGAACAACAGGACAATGCACTTTAGGTCACCAAATACAAGATGTACTTGTTTTTAATACAAAGAGCAAAACATGAACATCAAAAGAAGACATTTGATGAAAAAATATCTCACGAAAATGAGACTAACTCGTGACTGCATCAGAGTGTCCCAGTTTCTTTCTACAGTACTAGCAGGATATTCCAAACGTGTTGCAATCTTGACAGGAAATGAGGGTCTATTAAGCATGTGTCTTTTAAGTTACAGTGTAGTGAACCCTGTTTCAAGGTGAACTTTCAGTGAAAACACAAAAACGACAAAATAAATGAGAACAAAGCTAACAGACTTAGTGGTAAAGGCATAATGGACACATTAATGCGGATACCCTTTTCAGTTCATTGTTGAATGAGTCTGTGCTTTCCAGAAATTTCCTCTTCTTTTCTTGGTGTCGCTCCTCTATCTGAAGAAGTTCAGCTTCTAGCTTTCGCTGTTAAGACATATGATCAGATTTTATAATTACAGAAAAAAAAAAACTGTTTTTGGGTGACACCCAGCGGTGCTCAGGTGATCTACACTCAGGGGTCACTCCTGGTGGGGCTGGGAGGACCATATGGGGTGCTGGGGAGTGGAACCAGGTCCACAGTGTGCAAGGCAAGCGCCTGACCTGCTGTACCGTCTCTCTGGCTTTAAAGAATTATTCGAAGGAAAGCCAAGGTCAAACAAAATGCCACTCACTTTTTTGGGGGGTGGAGGGGGAGGGCAGGATCACACTGGAGGTGCTCTGGAGCCACCTCGGCTTAGCTGCTCTGGGCACCCTGTGATGCTGGGCTTGGAACCGGGCTTTCTGCGTGCACCCATCCTCTAGCCCTCTGAGCCCTCTCTTTTTGATTTCTCAGTGTGACCAGTGTGTTGGATTTCAACGTAAATAACTGATTATCCAATGCATTTAAGATTTTAAATATTTTATCAAGAGTTGGAGAGAACAGAAAAGTATCTATGGGAACTAATACTGAAGGATGCGGTTTCAGGCTTGGCCAATTTCTTGGCCAACTCCCGGCCTCAGTTTTCATAACAAACGCGTCAAATCTCTAGGAGCAGTCCGCTCCTGGGTCCTTCTGCCCCGCGCAGGAAAAAGGAGTGATGGAACCCCAAAGCATTCAGCAGACATGGAGGGGGGCACCAGGGAGGACCAGGCTCAGGGTGGGGAGGGGTCCCGGTTACTGGAGAGCCGCTCTGTGGCCGTACCTGATGGACCATCAGGGACTGCACCTGGCGCTTGAGGACCTGCATCCTAGCTGTGGTCACAACAGACCGGACGTCGGGCACCACACTCTCGCTCAGGATCTCGCTGATGAGGCGGTGGTTCCTCTGGAAACGAGCAGTGGCCGTATGCTTCATTGAAAAGCCATCGTCGTAATCTGGAAGAAACGGGTTTGGGAAATGAAGGCCCCGGTTCCAGATGGAAGCGGGTCCCAGGGCCCACATTTAGTTAGTTCCTAGGCAGTGCAGGCCGCTGTGGCCTGACAAGACGACCAAACGCTTCTGGGGAACCCCAGGGTGGTCACACGGCAACGCTGCATAGAGAGCAAGAGAAGTTCATGGGCTATGGGACTCCATTCTGTGACAAGCTCTCTAAGTGAGGACATGTGTCCGACAAGGACTTGGCTATTAGGATAAACGAGGCAGAACCAGGTCTTTTTTTTTTTTGGACCTGGAACTCGAGCAAAATGGAAACTGCTCCATTCTCATGCTCCAAGTTGTAACTTAAGGATTTTTTCAACTGATGATAACTTCTGGCCTGAGGGGAACCCTCAGTACATGAGACTTTAATTCAACTGTGCACTGCAGAGGAAACACTATCTCGAGGGATATTCAGTTTTCCAGACCAGCTCACATTCCAGGTCATTAAACCACCAGTAAGGGCCTGGGGCGAGGTTGTGGGGCTGGTCAGAGCCCCAGATGTGATCAGCCCCTCCCAGAGGGACCCAAACAGAAAAGCCACTATGGACAGAGTTTTACAGGGCTAAATCTTGCAGGAATTCTACAGAAAACAAAGTAATACCCAAAATTACTTTTGTCACTTTACATATATAAGCAGGTGCTGGTAGTGTAGAGTGTAAATTCATCTACTTAGAAATCATTCATCTTTAAGTACAGACCTCTTTTATAGAGTATGGACCTTGTGTAATTTCCTTTTGGGGGTTAGGGGGCTGCTGGGGGAGGATGTAGGGCAGGAAGAGAAGGGTTGTTTTTTGGGCCATGCCCATGGGTGCTTCAGGGTTTACTCCAGCTCTGCACTCAGGGATCACTTCTGGCAGTTCTCTGGGAATTATATGGTGTGCCAGGGATCAAACCAGGGCTGGCCGCATGCAGGGAAAGTGCTTCACACCTTGAGCCCATGTGTAGCTTAGTCTGAATAGCTCTACAGGTGCTTCTTTTACCTCAGCCTTTGATCAAGGATTTCCACATAGCCACTAAAAACCTGTCCTAGGATTTTCACCTTAACTCAGTTTAAAAAAGGCTTCCTCTTACACAATGCACATGAAAGCAAATATCCTTTCCAAAGGACCTAAATATCTTCCACAAGGGCCTCAGCATCACAGGTGAGCAACTCCCTCATTATCTGATCCTGAAGAAGATCCTGAAACTCTCATTACCATAAAGACCATAGCCACAAACTTGGGAAATCAGTTTCCTTCTGAATATATCTTCTGAAATTAAAATTACTAAGATGAGACTTAAAAAAAAAGGGGGGGGGGGAGAAAAAAAAAACCCACATAAAAAACCCTGTGATCTTTTTATTTACCCTTTGCATTTTTTGGTTTCTAGGCTATTCCCAGCTGCTCTGTGCTGGAGGGCTGCTCCTGGTGGTGCTATGGGGTGGGGTGAGGTGGTGGGTGGTGGGTGGGTGGTGGGACACACCATGTGATGCTGGGGAGAGGAAGGCCACAAGCAAGGCAAGCGTCTTAATCCCTGGACTATCTCTCTGGCTTGTTTTCTCCTTTGTAAAAACAACAGGGGCTACTCCTGGTGCCGTTTGAGGGCTGCCAGGTCACACCTGGTGGCACTGGGACCATGAGGTACTGAGGACAGAACTCGGCCTCTCAAGAGCTGGGCCCGTGTGCTACCACTTAAGCTCTCTTCCTGGCCCCTATTGCTTTCAGTCTTGGGTGGGGCCCTTGAAAGTCATGCTGGGGCCCCAGGGCCACTTCTGGTAATTCCTGGGTCAGTCGCATGAAAGACACGCATGCACTGTAACTCCTGACTCTCCCCAACCTTACATCTGTTTGGTGTAGCGGCTACCCCTGGCTTCATTAGGAATGCAACCCAGGCTGCCTGCATGGAAGCAGGCACTCAGTCCCTTGAGTGATTTCTCTGCCACATCCCTCCCCCCACTCAGGTGAAATTTCCACAGTCATATTCAGGAAACATCTGACACATTCATGCTACCACCAGTTAAGGTCATCTTTAAAAACCATTATTCTTTGTGCATCATGGATGACTGGTGCTGATCGCGGTGCACAGCTCTGATGGTGGCGAACGGAGCTTGGCACAGCAGGTCAGTTCCCTTGTGGGTACTTAGTCTTTTTATTGCTTTGTTGCTGGGCCACCCCTGGCGGTGCTAAGCGTTACTCCTGGCTCCGCATTCAGGACTCATTCCTTGCAGTGCTTGGGGTACCAGAGGGATGCGGGGGACTGAACCCAGGTCAGCTGTGTGCAATGCAAACGCCCGACCCACTGTTCTACTGCTCTGGCCCCACACTTGAGTTGTCTTTTTGTTTGGAAGACAGAAGTGGGTTTATATTTTCTAATTTACCACCTATTTTACTTCATGAATATTCTATGTCATTTAGAAAGCTTTTACTGTCTTCTGTGGCCACCTGTGCGTGTCCTATAAGTCTTTGTTTTTTACTGGGGGTTGGGTGGGGTGGGGCTCAGGGCTTACTGTTGCCTCTGTATTCAGGGAACCGTATGCAGTACCAGGGACTGAACCCAAGCCAGCTGTGTTCGTTTTTAAGAGTTATATACTTTAAAATAATATTACAGATAATTTTGTGCTAAAACATTTTAGAATTTACATGAGACAGGCAAATTCTACAAATGTAAGATTTAATTAAGTTCTGGGGTAGAAGGTAGTTGGAATGGGGAAGTGACCACTATGGCAAAGGTAGCTGGAGATGATCACTCTGGATAGGAATTGCGTGCTGAACGTAGACAAACATGATAACCTCTCGGTGCCTGCATTGCAAACCATCATGCCCAAAAGGGGGAACAGGGAAGAGAGAAGGGAGAGATAGAAGGGAAGTGTCTGCTGAAGACACAGGCTGGGTGGGGGGGAAAGGCATGGTGGAAAGGAAACTGGGGACACTGGTGGGAAATGTACACTGGTGGATGGATGAGTGTCAGAACACTGACTGAAAACGGACCATAAACAGCTTTGTAACTGTATCTCATGGTGATTCAATTAAGAAAACAAAAACAAAAACAAGGTGAAGAGAATTAAGAACATTTAAAGGGGAAAAAAATCTGAAAAATCAATTAAAGTTCCATGTGTGTTTCAGCCTAACTTCTCCCCCCCCCCAAAGCTATATAAATTTAAAGAATATTATAGATAATTCTGTGTTAATACATTTATGAGTTTACATAGACTATTTCTTCGATTTCTTACAGCCCCTTTCCTTCCTGCCCCCGCCGGCCCGTCATTACCATCTGGATCTTCAGCGGGCTGAATGCTCATGTAAGGTTCTCCTTTCTCCATGCGAGACTGCCTCTGTCGACTTTCTTCCTCTAAAGCAGCTTCTGCACGACTTTTTGCATTTATGTAAGCAAGATATGCGGGGGAATTATGATAGGCCTTCATAGATTCATTGTACTCTATCTGAAATTCAAATTTTTTTCAGTTTTATAATCAGCATTTTGCAGGTTATACCGAACACCATCATGCTCTCATTTGAATATCAAAAGGGAGAAACATTAACTTCCTTTTTATAGACCCGGAGAAATGAAGGGCTCTCACCCCCTGCAGCCCAAGCCTCAGAAGGGCCTCTGCACCCCACAGCGCTTTACACTGCAAGGAGAAACAACAAGCAAGTGTTCATCCCACCAAGCTCCCATTCTACCTTTTCTGCTTCGTATTCGTTTAAATATTCTTGTTTTTCTTCATCAGTGAGATCTCGCCACATGCCACCAATAATCTTGCCGATCTCCCACAACTTTAGGTCAGGGTTGGAAGCCTTTACTTGGTCCCAGACCTGAAAGAAGGAAAACAGGTGACATTCCAGGAGATGCCTGAAAACGCAGGTCTTTAGAAGTCCCTTTTTCATGTGGAACTAAAACACAAACAAAAGCAGAGGGACTAGCAGCGGCTCCCTCCGGTCCCCTCAGTAGCCCCCCGCAGCGGCACATACGCGGCGGGACCTGCTTTCGCCACCACCCACACACCTCCACCAAGAGCAGTGAACTCAGGAATGGCTTATGTTTCTCTAGAAGTTCACTCGAACTGAGGTCAGAGTGCTAGCACAATGCGCTGACTACAAACTCTGCACGCCAGAGGTGCAGGTTCAACCCCCGGTACTGCAGAGTCCCCCCAGCACAGTATCGGGAGTAGCCTCCAAGCACTGCAGTGTGTAGCTGATAAACCAACATGCCCCTTTCCCCCAGTTCACTGTAACTTTAGGAAGGGTTTAGATGACACACTATACCAAGAAATCCATCTACAAAAATCGTGACAAAATTTGAATTTCTACACACTCGAAAGAGATAACTGTGAATATGCTGAACTCAAAGAATAATGTCATCAGCCAATGCAAGGAAGCCTGAAGACAAAAAATGGCTCTTAAGCCTGTAGTTAAGAGAGAAGCATCGTCTTCCAACCCTTTTTCCCCCTTCAAACTAACACGCAGTTTCTGTGATTTGATTAAAATAAGGTATGGATGACACCAGTAGGCTAGTATTGCCTTTTTCCACGTGGCTCTTTTGCTCAGATTATTAATCTCCCAGAGACTGCATAATGTTGTCTCTTCAGCATTTTATTTCATCAGTGTGGCTGAAATGACATTCTTGTTAAATCTGAAGTCACATCGTTTTGAAATCAAAACCCAGTTTTCTTTGAAAATGGCAATTCTTCATCCCTTCATTTGACAGCACAGAGAAAGATGGGCTAAGCCCATGTGCAAGCTGAGAGAGAGAGCAAATCAGCCAACAGTGGCGGTCCTCCCTGCATGCGGGCGGGGGGGAGGGGCGGGGGCACCTACCTTTCTGCTGTACCTCATGTAGGGCATCAGTGGCTTATCTGGTGGCTTTGGGGGTTTTGGAATCGTAATACCAGAGGATGCCTACAAAAGAGTTAATACATTCATTAATCAACTGTGAGGAGTTCGCCAGCCCACTGAAAAGAGAGTCCCTGAAAAACTTCTAATGCGCCTTTCTTCTACTCGTCCATGGATATAAGATTCTTATCTTTTTCTTCACTGAAAATAGCTATCACTGTAAATTCAGAAATGTCCACATCAAAAGAAAATAAAGAGAATGACTTTAAGCGCATAATTAAAAAAAATTATTTACTTAGTTTATTGTCACTGCTTTGACAACCTGGCTGTAAGAAAATATTACATAATAATCCATACACAACACTACAGTGTTACACATCACATGCCCCACGTGTGGATTATCTGCCACAGATTTTTTTTCCTTGGGGAGGCTGTTTGATTTACCATTACACATACAGTCAACACTTGATTATCAGCAGGGATTTTGGAGCTCCTTCCAGGCTCACCAGGCCCATGCAGTCAGAGGGGGCTGCGTGCCTAGCAGTGCTTTTTCTGGAATACACTCACTTGTAACTAACTACACAAAAACGACTCCCTACATTCAAAACCAAAACAAAATCAAAGAAACCTTGCTTTCTATATCATGGCCAGAGTTCTTCTTCTTCTTTTTTAAAGGCCCTATGTCCATATCTAGAGGCTTTTTGTTAAGGAGATCTGTAACTGAAGCTATGCCCTTTTTGTTCTTGGTGATGGGGGGGAAAGCAAATTTATCAAGAACAACAACAAAAGAGCAGACACAGGATGCAATGAAGTTATCTGCGAGGATGTACAGTACGTCAAGAAACTCCATCCCATGAAAAAAAATTCTGTTTTTTGAGGAAAGAGAGGCGAGGAAGGAAAACAGAGGAAAACCTGGAGAAACAAAGGTAAAGGTAAAGGTAAAGGTAAAGGCCCTCCCGTTGATCGTCGATTTGCTCGAGCGGGCCCAGTAACGTCTCCATTGGAGACTTTGTTGTTACTGTGTCTGGCATATCAAATACTCTCGGTAGCTTGCCGGGCTCTCCGAGAGGGGCGGAGGAATCGAACTTGGGTCGGTCATGTTGGCCGCTTGTAAGGCGAACGCCCTACCCGCTGTGCTATCGCTCCAAACCTCCTTAAAAAAAGCAAAGGAAAAAAAAAGGCAAAGGAAAAAAAAAGGCAAAGGAAAAAGTGGCTTGGAGAAGAAAAGGAAAAGAAAGAACACGATGAGATGGGCCCCTCTGGTGGGCAGCCACACCACAGCTGCTCAGGTCGCCAGACGCGGCCAGGGAAAAGCAGTTGACTCTGACCTCAGTCTCACCTGAATACACTTAAAGTGCCCTTGGTCAAGGGTCTAAAAGAAAATCCAGCTAAATCCCATTTATCTTTCTCAAATCTATGAAGACCCCAACACTGATTTTTTATAGGGGGGGAAAAAAACTCTAAGAAAATGGCTCTGTTCTGGGCTGGCTCTCTACCTAGATTCTTTTCCACATTGCTTCAAATTATGCCTCCTTTTTAAAGTATGGTCGTCCTCTACCCCTTTCCTTTTTAGGTGCTTTTTCCTCAGAAGTTATTAGGAAACATGTCAGAGGCTTAGACGTATTTTCTATTACAAAAAAAAAAAAAAGCAGTTTGCACTAAACCTACTTGAATCAAAGTTGCTTGTCAATAAAATTACAAGCAACCACTGCTTTGCAATAATCCTCTGGTTAAAGGTGTGAAAACCTGTTGGTCCTTTATCAAAAGGCTTAGCGGTGACACTTTTGGAGGGCGAGGGCGTGTCTCCCCTCCCCCCATTTTCTTTCCATACTACCATCAGGAAATGTATCTCTACCACAACATTCCTGCTTTTCAGTTTTGCTTCACAGACAGGAGTAGGAGGGAACTGTGATTGTCACAAGTAACTGTTTCCACCTCCAACTGATTGTGAAGACTTGAGTTTGCTGTTTCCTCCTACTAGAAGTTGTGTCTCCAGCAGAATCTAATTTAAGATTCTTTTCTGACAAATAATTTCCATTGAAACATAGAAATCAGTGCTTTAAGATTGCAGAGAGACAGTAGTGTTAGGGCAGCACCTGGTGTGGGTTTTAATACCCAGCACTGCACAGGGTCCCCTGAGCACCCCCAGGAGTGATCCTTAAGCACAGAGCCAGGAATGATGCCTGAGCACTGCTGGAGGTAGCCCCCTGGGGGGAGGCGTTGGGGAGGGGTGAAAAGTTTTCACACATTAAACAAAAGTTCTTTAATAAAAGAGAAAAGTTTTAAACGGTTTGTCCTGGTCTGTTTTCAACCTGTACTAAGGGGAAAGTCAACCACTCTGCATAAAGACTGCAGTGTGTGTGTGTCCCCAAAGTAACAAAATTCGATTAATTAAAAAAAAAAATGCTTTTACAATGGTCCAAATCTACTGAGTCCTAACATAATTTCGCTTAGGTACATCTTAAAAACGATGGTGTAAAATTTCATTTAAAATCGTTATTTTTCTTAGTGGAACATGTAATGTCACTAAGGGATAAAGGGGCCGGATTAACGTAGGTCCAAGGCCCTTCTTTTTTCCCTGACCTCAGGATTCACCTGAACAGCAGTTTTAGGAGACCCTGGTGTGTTGGTAGGAGGACAAGGGAAACAGCAAGAAGAACCAGGTCACCAAATTCGCTGATGTGCTACTATACCTTCAAATTAGTAAATTAGCGCCCACTTCAAGTACTGTTTCAACACCCCCCCACCCCCAAGAAAAAAGGTGTGGTTACGGGCAACAGGTAACTGGCCTAGATTTCCTTCTCCTAGTACACTAAGTCTCCACGAAATGATCTCGCTTTATGAAAAGAATCCGCAATGATACATCTAAGTTAGGAACAAAATACTTACACAAATGAAAATACGAATCATTCTAATATTACAATTACAATCATTTCTATTCCAGCACCATAGATAATCAAGAGCTGACTGTATATAGAACTGTTAAAAAGTTGTCTTGTCTCTGCCAACCAATCATTTTCTGCATTCATATAAATGACCCAATGTTGATTTTGCTTCTAGTTTAAATGGAACCGTTCTCAATCGCTTGAAAACTGTCACTTATTTCTTTTTTTCGGTGAAACAACACATTAAGACTGGGAAAAAACATGTACTGGTGCACATAAAAATTGTATGCATTGTGAAATGCACACATAGATACACGTAAGGCTTCTCTTTAGATATCATAAAATAAGCATGGCACATAAAACCTGATATGCTTATGAGTACAGATCAGATAAAAACAGTAAAAAATGTAGACAAACTAAACCCATCAAGCTTAGCAATAACGCTTACCACGATAGATACACATTCAGGTAGTTCCAAACTTTTCCCCCCTAGCTCAACTGCAGAGCAAGAGAGCTTTTCTAATGCCACATTAATAGATTTTAAAGTACAGAAAATAAAAATCAGGTACAAAAAGTTTACAGTCAACCTGGGTTATATATATATATTCTTGCCAATATCAAATTCCAATGCACAGAGGTATTTGGCTTTTGGATTTATTTTTTTACATCTTTTTTGCTCTTTCTTAGGTATCTGAATTTCCTTGGTGTTTAGAAGATTCAAAAAAGAAAGTCTGACATCACCTAATTTCAAATCTCAGGTTGAGATCTGAATGCAGCATCCTAATATAAAAAAATAACATCCCCTATAAATCCTACAGATTATAAATGTATTTTCAGTTGTACATATTTACTCTGGTACTTAACTTTATGTAACTTTCTGTAATTCTTTGAGATGATATAAAAAGGCTTTTCTTTTTTTTAATTGAACAGCTCTCAATTAATTGAACAGATCAATCATTAAATCCAAAAGACAAAGTAACTACATGTTACAATTCAAAATGGTAATGTTAGCCAAGACTGGTATGGAAGCCCAAACCAAGAAACCAAGTTCTTGTGCCTAATGCCAACTGCCACCAATGAAAAGATACTCATCTCAAAAAGTGGCATTTAAACACAAGAAATTCTAGGTTTATCTATACATAGTATAAACATTCAGTGCATTAATTTTTATCTCTACCAACCACCAAACAGAACAGTCTTCTTTTCTTCTATATACATATTCAGATCTCACTGTATATTTTTTCAGTGTAAGGCTGTACAATGAATGTTTAAATAGTCGAAAAGCTAGGTTAAAAAAAAATTTTTTTTTCCAACGGCTGTGCTGATGATTCGAAAGGACCTAACTCTGAAGGCATTTCTGGTCAATTCCAGTTGTTTGCCGGATGCGGTAATAGTTGATTCTCCTACCGTGACCCGGCTGTTGGTGCCCGGGTTCCCTCCCAGCCTGTAGTTGTTGTAGGCGAGATGACTGTATGGATTGTATCCCACAAACCCTGGTGTGCTGGGCATTTGCTGATGGAAACAAATGAGACAAAAACACGAATGAGAAATGAGCTCAAACGAGGAAAACACAGAAATGAAAAATGATCTGCATATGGCATGCAAAAGCAACCTGAGTTTAAACAAGCAATGATGTGTTGTAATTTGTTTTTTCTTTCACTGAAAAGCCTCTCTAGTAAGTGTTTTTCTTTTCTTTTTTCTTTCTCTTTACAGGGACCGGTGGTGTTCGTATGCGTGCGATTGTGGTGCTTGTGGTGGGGGAGAAGCAATACACTGCGGTGTCTCAAATGTTCAGGATTACTGTAGGGTCCTAACAACTCTCAATAACATGTCTGAGATAGAAAAGCCTGAAGTGTGATAAACTACAAATCTGGAAACACTACATGCAAAAACAAAACATGACTCATTTGACGGTTATGTGGATGTCATCAATGTATTCATCAAATAAAAACAAGAAATGGATCTGTTTCAAAAGACAGTTGTAAATCATTTTATATAATGTTGAGAAATAAGAAGACTCAAATCAGGGAGCTGGCAGTTGTCAATAGAAAAGAACATATGTGGGATTCAATGAATGTCACATACATGATTTCAAAACAAAGACTTGGAAAAAATGCATGGATTTCATTCTGGGGTCCTGTCTGTTTTAACCCAGTCAGTCATTCTTTCATAGGTTTTTTTCTTCCATCTCTTCTTTGGTCCATCTTCCATAGGTCAGTCATGAACAAGTTCTGCATTTAGTTTTATTGTGAACTACTTTCTTTTCTAGTCCACAGAGACTTGAGTTTTCTTGTTTCATCTAGTTCCCTGAGGACGCTAGCCCTTCCAAAACACAACTACTCATTGTAATAAAGGGATTCTTGAGTTTTGTGACTTATGTGCTGATGTGCTCACAAATGGGCTCTTATATAGCAGTGATCTTGTGGGTAATACAGTGACATCCAATGTTTATGGTAATCAAGGCAAAATGCATAAAAAGGATGAAGCAGGAGGCCAAAGTAGAATAATTTACCTAATGAAATGCAATCCAAACAAGTGACAGTAATTTCATGTTAACATGCAATTAACACTGTCAGTCCTGAATTGTATAGTGTAGAAGACAAAACATCCCAGCTAAGCTGCAGCTGTTATGAAATAAACACAATTTTCTCTAACATGCCGCTGCATGTGTCCAAAAGAAAGACATTCCAACAGATAATACATTTGATACTCTTCAGAAGAAAATGACCATTCAATCTCTAGCTTACATAGTTATAGAAGACGCAAATTCAGCATAATTAAGTAGGCAAAATATAGATGAAATATCAAAGAACAAAAGTAGTGCATATTACTTGAGTAGTAGATTGGGTGGTGATGGTGGTGAGTGGTGGAGGTGGTAAAAGTGATGGTGGTGGCAGAATGGAAAAAAAAGGGAAGGAGAGTAAATCATTTAAGATCCTTTCTGTTGGGTATTCTAATCCCTAGTCTTCTGTATTTTATGTGTCAATGTGAGATTATAATGATACAGTCATATGACTAAAGAAAAGAAAAATAACCCTTGCTACATTTGAGAAGCTCTAAGGGGTGAGTTGGTTTTGAGATCGCTTTATTATCTCAAAAATTTATGTTTGTCTTCAGGATATTTTATATTTTACAAATATATATACACACCCACTTATCAATGTGTATATATATATTATACACACATACATACACTGTCAGAGGCAGTATTAATGCCAAATTAACACCTTTAAAGGTTGCATAAACAATGGGAATCACTGTTTAACATTATAAAGAATCAAGTGTGAAAGGTAAGGGTACTAAAAAAAAAAGTAAACTGAAACAATATAATTCTATTAGTTTCAAAAATGAAGGACAAGGTTAGCTCAGAGAGGTCAGGAATCTTAACAGCTCACCTCCACCTCAACAGACCCTAGAAGAGTACTAAGAAGATGATCAAAATAAATGTTCTTTGATTTCAGAAAGGAAACCAACCAAACACAGGACTTTAAGATGTACTGGGAGTCACTTGAGAGAACGTGTGTTGTATAGGGTGAGCTGAGACCATAGGAGACAGGATCTCTTTTAAAAAGTGTCTGAGGAAAAACAAACTGTTGATAAACCTAACTAAAACACCCATTTGAGGGTTAGTAAAGGAGTTAGCGAGTTGGAAAACAAAATTATACAAGAACCTAATTAGCAGACTAGCCTAAAATTTAGGGGGCAGGGGATACGAAAGGAGAGCTAACAGCTTTTAAAGAACTGTTTTTGTAGGTTATTGTCAATGTTAATAGTGTTTCTCTTAAAACATAAGCACAAAGAGAAGGAATCCATTTTAGCCAGGCCTGAACAGTTATTGACAGGTTGCTTCTGTTGACTGACCAATTATTTTGCATGCTGACCAAGCTGGGTCAGAGCCTGATTGGGAGCAAATTAGTTTACAAGCAACACTTTGAAACATTACCAATTTCCAAACCATTATTTATGGAGTGGAATAGAATTTGACAGCAGGATCTGACCCGCTGGTAAGAAATCCTTACTTGAACAGCATGAAAATAAAGATTTGCAAATATTATGGCTCTAGAAGATTTATGGATTTAATATGAAAATTATATGGAGAAAAGGAGAAAAACGTAACCAGCTGAAGGTCGGGTTTAAAAAATAACTCAAGGATGAATATTCACTCAGTATCAACTTTAAAGTCTCAACAGAGATTAATAAGAAGGGTTAAAAGTGTCACTTATTTCCTATTTAAAAAATGGAGTGGAAGAGGGTGGAACTTCAGCAGTATGTTTCTTTAAATGTTGGGATTGGTTCAAGGTAAGATGCAAAGAGTTATTTTATTTAGTAGGAAGTGCTGTTTTTTAGCTGAGTTTTTCATTCTGTTCCTGTAATGATTGAGTGACTGTCACTGGAAGACATCTGGGTTTTTGTATCAAGGCCAGACTTGGCTATTACATTAACAAGAAAATTAAAACTTACTGTTGCAGGAGCTGGGGTGGGAGGTGGGGCATAAGATGGTCTTTCTGTTTGAAAGAAAATAAATAACTTCTTGTAAACAACTGAGATATAATACTATGCAACAAAACTACCAATGGTCCTGTTTTGAAGAAAAAAAAATGAGAGTATTTTTGGAATTCCCATTTGCTAGGGCATTAGTCTCTTATTAATATAGATTGATAAATATAAAAAATGAAACTTACTTGACATTTTGGAAGATTAAGTTCTCAGTTCCTTAAGAATGAATCTGAGACACTAAAATAAAAAAAAAGGAAAAAAAAGAAAAAAAAAGAGAATCAAAACTCAGCAAGCATATGAGAATGTTTCTTAAAGAATAGGGTAGTTTATTTGGTACTTCTGAATAAAATTACATTATCTTTGCATATTTTAATAGTTCTTATAGGGGATCTGGCTGCTCAGAATGAAATAAGGAGAATTATAGGGGATATTAGAATAACACAATTCAAGTACTTTTAAGTTTTTCCTTCTTCTAGCTACCTCTTTCTTACATGGAAAATATTCTGCAGATGTTTTCCATATTTAGTCGGGGCTGATATAAGCATGAAAATGAAATACTAGGAATTATCAGGATCCACTCACTTAAGGCCAACCAGATTTTAGGTAACACTATCTAAAAATATGGGGCATCACTTTATTCCTGGAGGCACTGTGAAACGTTAACTGGTACCATAATGAACTTTAGCTTCTCTTTAGTGGTCAAGAGCTCTGTAACTGCTAAAAATAAATCTTGATAGTGCGTGAAAAGTTCTTATTCACTGTTAGATGCCCCATTTCAAAAATCTCAACAGAGTCTTCTTGACAAACTAGCTGGGCTAATTACTTGCTGCTTCATCTGTATCACTATCCAAATTACACTGATCTATAGTATTACTTATTGTATCTTTTTTAAAGCAACCACTAAATACGGTCAGGCTGTGAGCTGTGCAGGACCCGGGCTGATGAGAGTAGTACTAGTAACCTTGCCCAGCTCCTAACGAACTTGATCTCAGTATTACAAGAAGACCAAACCCACAGGTTTGCTCCTACTCCAATATACTAAGTACCATAACATGTACTAAGAAGTAAAAAATCACTTTTAGAAGTGGCAAGTGAGATCTATGACTAGTGGGGTCAGCACAGAAGGAAACAGACGTGATTTCTTAGCTTCTATTTAGCTTTTTTGGGGGGGCGGGGCGGGGATGCTGAGGACTTAACCCCTGGCTCTGCTGGAACGACATGGGATGGGGTGGGGAATTGAACCTGGGTCAGCTGAGTGCAAGGCAGGCGCCCCATCCATCAGCCCTTCTACATCCCCTGCTCCCTATTTTGCATTTGAAGGGAACTCTCAAGAAGCTGGAAGAGGCCCGGTAGAATGAAAGCTTATTTTCTCCTGGGCCCAACCTGCTCTCTCCCTCTTTCGAAAGGAATAAACCGAATCCCTTGTTTCTGCTGCAAACTTCCCTCTAGGCGGGCACGCAGAAAGGGTCACCAAGCAGAAAGGCCTTGTTGGGGGTGGGGTGGGTGGCAACGGGAGCGTCGGTAATAACTACCACGAGGTCCCAGGGCACCACCACACTTTCTGATCACTCTTTTCAATGACCCTCTCCTTTGCTAGAGGCGGACACTGGGCGCGCGCGGGGGCGGGTACCAGGTTCACTAGGGACCTGGACCCATCCCGGGAGCTGGCATAAAGGACTGGCTGCGCCTCTGCTCGGGACATAATGGCACTGGCTCCCCCACCCCCACGTCTCCCTAAACCTTTCCAAGGCCCCGAGGAGCCCGGCCTTGCTGCCCCCGTGCAGCGGAGGGAAGAGGGGAGCCCGGGCGAGTTTTAAGACTCTAGTCTACAGCCGCCGGGCCAGGAAGTGCAGGAGGCGGGCAGGGGTGGAGAGTGGGGGGTAGAGGGTTGGTGGGTCCCACTCCTGGGCCCTCCAGCTTCCGAGCCGCAGCTCGCAGTCTGCACCCCAGAGAGGCCGACTTCCTGGGGTGGGAGGGTCCCCGAGCACCCGGGGGCTCTGCGTATTCCCCCCTCCCCCAGCCCCATCGTCCCCTCCCAGGGCTTCCTCCTCCCACGTCGCTGCCTTTCCGTTCGCTGCGGACAATGCACTTTCCCCGCAACTCCGCGACCACGGGGCTGGGCGGGGGGTGCGGCGGCGCGGGGTGCTCGGCCCCATCTCGCGGGTGGGTGGGTGCGAGGGAGGAAAGAGGCCACAGCGGCCGCGCAGGAGGGGACCCTGGCTGGGCCTAGGCCGCGCGGAGGGGGCCCCCGCGCTCTGGGGCTCGCGGGGCCTCGCCGAAGGCTCCCGGGCGGTCGGGGCGCGGCCGGGCCGGGTGGCCCCGCACTCGCCGCCCCCGCGGCGCGGCCGGGCCCCGGGGTAGACACTCACCGGCGGGCAGCGGCGTTGCCCGCAGCTCCGGCCTCGCTTCCCTTTGTCCCGCGCACGCCCCGCCCCGCGCGCCGCCGTTCCGCGGCCGCACTTTCCACACGCGCCGCGCTTCAGCCCGCGCCGCGCCGGGCCCGCGGCGAGCAGCGAATTATTTTTTTCTATTTTTTTTTCTTTCTTTCTCGCTTTCCCGGGCTCCGTCCGTTCCGCCCAGACGCTCCGGCCCGCCGAGCTGCTGGGGCGGCGCCGATTCGTCACGGCGGAGCGGGAGGAGGCGGCGCCGGGTTCGCGCCCCGAGCGCGGTGCGGGGCGGCGCCGCGACCCGGCCCGGCCCCCCGCCGTGCCCTCACCTCTGCCGCTCCGCACCCCCGGGGGCTGCTACTGCTGCTGTGGCTGCTGCTGCACGACCCCCACCGGGGAGCCGGGCTCTGGGGACCACGCGCCGCGCTCTTTCCGTCCCCGAGCGCGCCCAGCACCGCCTCCTCCGGCCTTGACGGCCGCGCTTTCGACCAGAAATCAAAAGCAAATAAAAAAAATATAAATAAAAAGGCCACCTAGTCCTTGTGGCGCCGCCCCCGGCACGGGTTTGCTGTGATCCGCCGCCGAATGGGAGCCGAGGCCCAGGGGCGTTTGTCCTCAGGCCCTGCGTGGCTGCCCCGGCTCTGCTCGTGCCGCCGCCGCGGCTCCCTCCTGGGGGGACCCTTTGGTCCCTCACTTTTTAGCCGGAACTCATCAGTCCTACCTAGATCCAGGTCACATGTCACTTGTGAGGCCCCCTCGGCTATTTCTTTACCCCCCACCCTCTAATATCCCGTTCTCTGGTCGCCCCCCGGCTTGGACTTGGTTTTCAGTGCAAGGGGAGTACCAGCAAAGCGGAGGTTTGGGCCTCTGCACTGGTCATCTTCATAGTGCGGGTGCCTAGGGAAGTGCTCAGTAACCCCTCCAGGGTTCTTTCCAGTCCCAGGAAGATTTCAGTTTATCAATCCCATCCGTGGTGAACAAACCTGGGTGAAAGGTGGCCCCCCCTGTGTGGGGGGGGTGGGGGGGTTGGGGTTGGGGTATCCATCAGCAATGGCTTGAAAACTTGACATTGAGTCTACTTATGGAGACCCAACACCAGATTTTCCTGGGTTCACACTCCTTATTCCTTTTCATACAAGGTTCTCTTTCTGTCTCCAACTTGTTGTTGTTGTTTCTGGGCCTCATCTAGTGGTACTCAGGCCTTACTCCTAGCTCTGGGCTCAGGGATCACTTGTGGGGTTCCAGGGAGACCATATGAGATACCAGGTATGGAAATGGAACCCAAGTTTGTTATTTTTTAAAAATTAAGAAAAAAATCTTTTTTTTTTTCTTTTTGGGTCACACCCAGTGATGTACAGGGCTTGCTCCTGGCTCTGCATTCAGGAATTACTCCTGGCAGTGCTCGGGGGACCATATGGAATGCTGGGAGACGAACCCCATCCACAATGTGAAAGGCAAAAGCCCTACCTGCTGTACTATCGCTCCAGCCCAGAATGAAACTCAGGTTGGCCTTATGCAAAGGAAGCGCCCTACCTGCTGGACCATTGCTCCTCTACCCTTAATTCTGTCTCCCTTTTCAACTTCCCACAGTGCAGAGGGAAGAAATCAAAGAGAGTTGGACTTGAATTTCAACTTAGTCACTTACTAGTATTAGCTTCTCTGTCGGAGCTGAAGAACCTCAAGAAAGTATAGGTGGCGTTAGACAGGTAGGCGACCCAAATTCCTGGGTCTTGCTGAGTTAAAGTAAGTTCAGGGTCAAAAACTCTTCCTCGAAGTCACCAGTAGGCCCATGTGAGTGCTCCCAACAACTCAGGAGTTACCTCTATTTCAGTTATATTAATGATGCATCACATCAAATCCTCCACGAGCTGTATTACGGATTCACTACCAGGATCTCACCATTCTACAAAGAAGTAATCATTGATGTCAAGAGAGGGGTTCAGCAGGGTGATACCATTTCACCGAAACTCTTCAGTGCCACCCTCAAGAACATCATGCAATGACTGGAATGGGAAGGAATGGGAGTGAAGATAGATGGTCGGTAACTACACCACCTCTGCTTTGCTGATGATATTGTTTTAATAACACCAAACATCAGCCAAGCGGCACAAATGCTGGCCGACTTTGACCGTGAGTGTGGAAAAGTAGGACTACAGCTGAATCTTACGAAGACAGTGTTTATGAGAAACAGCCTCGTTCCTGACGCCCCATTTGCTCTCAACAGAACGACCATCTCCGAATGCAACAGTTATGTGTACCTAGGTCGAGAAGTCAACATGACAAATGACCTGGCACCCAAGCTGCGCAGAAGGAAGAGAGCAGCTTGGAACGCCTTCAAGAGCGTCGAAGAAATAGCTAAGAGGACGAAGAACCTCCGGCTCCGGGCACATCTCTTTGATTCCACTGTTCTTCCTGCATTAACATATGCCTCAGAGACCTGGGCCCTACGCAAACAGGATGAGAACGCTATTTGGGTTTCCCAAAGAGGAATTGAAAGAGCTATGCTTGGAATATCACGTTTCACTCAAATGAGAGAAAGAATCCGGAGTTCTGACCTCCGTCGATGATCAAGAATCAGGGACGCTGTCTTGTTTGCCAAGGTGTCAAAAATCAGATGGGCTGGTCACGTAATGAGATTTAGAGATGACCGCTGGACTAGAGCTGTTACCGACTGGATTCCACGGGATGTCAAAAGACCGTGTGGCCGCCCACCTACCAGATGGTCAGACTTCTTCATCAAGATCATGAACGATCGGTTTGAGGCTCTTCGTGTTCCTAGAGCGAACAGACGCCATTGGGCTACACTAGCACGTGACAGGAACAAATGGCGATGTTACTGGCGCCCACTCGAACAAATCGACGATTAACGGGAAGTCAAGTGGTCAAGTGATCAAACATCACATTTACCGTCGGATTAGCTATGATTCCATAAGCCATGTGGTCCCCAGAAAGATCCATCTATGCAAGAGATCAGAGAATCCTTTAAAATTAGACACAAACTGGGAGAGATGCCAGACGCTGAGATATTCTAGGTATGCCTGGCCACCACTGTGCCCAGATCTTTGGAACCTTTACCAGAAGGAGGTAGGCAGAGTCCTTGCCCTGCCAAAGGCCCAGCACTCCACCCACTCACATCTGCCTCAGCTCCAAAGTTCCTGAAGCAAGCGGCTGCACATGTGGTTGCTTGGCACCTCCACACTTCACAGAGTTGACAGCCCAGGAGGAGCACAGAAAATTAGATGGGAAAATTGAGTAGAAGCCCAGTTAGCTCAGTGAATGAGAACAATAACACAGAAGGTTCAACTCACATTTAACAGCTCAGTAAATCCTCAGGCCATGACTTTAGCAACACCATTACAAGATGTATGTTGCAATAAGCAATATAAAGTGAAGTATTTTGTGTCTGTGGAGGAAAGGGCACATTGGTGACCGTTGGAATATTGACTTCCTAAAGCAATTGTACTGTCAAAAACTTTGTAAAGGTCTAAAGGTCTAGAGGACATGTTTTGGAAATGGGAATCTCAGGTTTAGTCTTGTTTTCTGTTTTTGTTTTTTGTTTTTGTTTTTGCATCACACCTGGTGATGCACAGGGATTACTCCTGGCTCTGCACTCAAGAATTACTCCTGGTGGTGCTCAGGGGACCATATGGGATGCTGGGAATTGATCCCAGGTGGGGCATGTGCAAGGCAAACGCCCTACCCGCTGTACTATCACTTCAGTCCCTCAAGTTCAGTCTTGAGCAATCCTGAAGCACTGAGTCAGGAGTAGCTCCAGAGCACTGCTTGGCGTGGTCCCTTTAACAAAAACTGTAGCACTGTAGCACTGTCCTCCCGTTGTTCATGGATTTGCACAAGCGGGTACCAGTAACGTCTCTGTTGTGAGGCTTGTTGTTACTGTTTTTGGCATATCAAATATGCCACAGGGAGCTTGCCAGGCTCTGCCATGCAGGGGGGATACTCTCGGTAGCTTGCCGGGCTCTCCGAGAGGGATGGAGAAATCGAACCCAGGTCCGCCGCATGCAAGGCAAACGCCCTACCCGCTGTGCTATTGCTCCAGCCCCTAATAAAAAAAAAACAACAACAAAAATACACAAAGGGGCTGGAGCAATAGGGCGTTTGCCTTGCATGCAGTCGATCCGGGTTCAATTCCCAGCATCCCATATGGTCCCCTGAGCACCGCCAGGAGTAATTCCTGAGTGCAGAGCCAGGAATAACCCCTGTGCATTGCCGGGTGTGACCCAAAAAAGCAAAAAAAAAAAAAAATACACAAAGGGCATAAAATTAGACACAATTGTTTTATGGATTTCCCCCTATTCCCCCTCCAGATGGGGGTTAGGATTTTAACAGAACTACTAGGGAACCTTGAGTTTTTTCCTTTTACAAGAGTCCTTAGTGACTGCACGAAGGCTGGGATTCTGCAATTGTTGGTAATTGGAATTACACGTGGAATTTTTTTTAACATTGTTTCCAGAAGCATGCATTCAAACGTTCCCCCCAAAAGATGGAAGAATATTAATTTCTGTTTATCCTTAAGGAGGGCATAATACAATGCATCGTATAGAATTGCTGTCAGGTCTAGAGATTATGTGGAAATTTGCTGAGCACAGTATACCAGGATTCACTGTCACTGTCCTCCCGTTGTTCATCGATTTGCTCTAGCGGGCTCAGTAACGTCTCCATTGTGACACTTGTTACTGTGTTTGGCATATCGAATATGTCATGGGTAGCTGCGGGTGAGATACTCTCAGTAGCTTGCCGGGCTCTGAGAGGGGCAGAGAAATCGAACTCGGGTCGGCCATGTTGGCTGCGTGCAAGGCAAACACCTTACCCTCTGTGCTATCGCTTCAGTCCACCACGAGTAAACACTTCATAAATAGTTGTTGCTGTTATTTTACTTTTGTCAGGATTACTAAACATTTAAATTATAATAGCTCATTCTTAATTTTTCTTTTTGTTAAATATACTATAATAACCATTATCTCGGGCTGAGGAGATAGCTCAAAGGCTGGAGCATGTACTTAACACGTGGGAGCTCCCAGCACTGCATGATCCTTGCGACGCATGGTTCCCCAAGCACTTCTGAGTGTGACCCCATACCCCTCAAATTTAACAAACCAAAATATTTTTTCTGCACTTTGGTAGCAATTTTCTTCATTCTCCAGTGAATGAACCATATTGGAACAATTAAACTCAATATAATGTATCACACATCACTCAAACACAATACATATTTCCATTTTTTTTTATTGCAGTGGTATCATTTACTTTGGTAAATTCACATCCCCATTTGAAATGCCCCAAAGCAAACAAAACTTTGTCATAAATTCAAGTATCTTGAAATGTACATTTATACATACAATAACTGCGTAGTGGAATCACTCTAACAAGCCATTAATTCATGATGACCAGTACCAAGTCTTTAATGCGGCATATTGAGTACACAAGACATATTGTTTTATTGTGACTACTGTTGCTTAGTGTAGTACATTTAATACAATAGCCTATATGACTGCATTTTTCAATGCTTAAAAAAGGAGCACTTAACTAATATTGAAAGGAAACGCTTATGCAAAGGATGAATTTTAGCTCAGATGCATATGCAAGAATAAGCATGCGACTGTCCCCTTGATGACCTGACATGATCCCTTTCACAAACTAAAATAAGCCAGGCTCGATGCAACTGGAAGAAATGAAAAAAAAATTTTACATCTCTTATTATGTTAAAACATAATTTAACATAATTCTCTTCTGGTTAAAATATACATCCTTGGTCTGGGCATGGAGCTCAGTAGCAGGGCACTTGCCTTGCATGTATGAGACCCTGGGTTCAATTTCCAGCACCACACAAAAAAGAAAAAAATTATTTTTGTTGAAATAAAGGAGATAGAGATGAAAAAGACTGCACTAAATTGCTAACATAGTTGTAGCCCTTAGATGAAACTTTAGCTGGCAATTATACTCAGCATTTTTTATGCTTTAAAAAAAATAGCCTACAAATTTGTATTAAACAAATTAGGTGGTTTAAAAAACTTTCCAACAATACTTGACTTTTTCACAAATATATTTTCTATCCATATTTTACGACAGTTTGAACAGTTAAAAATGAAAACCCTGCAAGTACGCTTAGATAACACTGTTATCTTAATTCACATAAATGATTGAAATATTTAGAATACTTCATATAGTATCTTTTCTAATGTTAGCATCGAATACTCCATCACATTTACAGAAGGAAAAACTGGGATGGTGAAGGGTTGGTTACTCTCCTAGAGCCATTAACATTTCCTGGCTTATACAAATGAGTCTTCTGATTTTTTTTTTTCTGGGAGAGAACACAGCCTTTAAAGTTTGAATAAAGCAACTCTTCTGGGAATCAGTTGACGGTTCTGAAACTTTCAGATGAAGATTAAATTTATTTAAACATTAGATTGGCCCTGAGGTCTGTTCCCTGGTTAGCTGAGAACTGCTTGCCCAGAAAGTAACTCTCTTTTTCTAAGTGTGCAAAGGATTGTCTTGAAAGGAAACATTTTGGTCTTTTGAACAATGAATTCTTTCTAAATGTTTGCTTATAATTTTTCTTTCTTTGGAGTAAAAGCAAATCTTTTTAGATTGAACCAGCTACCTAGGCAAACAGTGAGAAAATTAACTCGATACAGTCAAAGATGAGTAATGCCCATTTCTTAACTGGGCTCCTGATTTAGGGTCCAGAGACTCGACTTAGCCAGCCTAATGCTTACCATCTCTGATGAGACCTCAAGGGAAGAAAGACTATTTGGAGAATAAATAGAAACTGTACTGAATTTTTCACTTTATTTTGAGGCTCCCCCTCTTCAAAAAAGTTCATCCATGAATAGATTCAGAGAAATTTTGTCACGCCCCCCCTTTTTTTTTAATTTCCTGAAGAGAATCACACATTGATCATAACATACTTACATTTGGGGACAGAAGGTGGTAGACGTAACTCACCTTCATCTATCCTGGTGTTGTATTCAAGTCAAGTCAGACATTGTGAATTAATTAGCTGATGGATGTTTGATTGACGGGATGCTGCACGACCTTCTCATTATCAGCCTGACTTCTATATCTGGTAGATTATCTTGTTTAGTCTGTAAACACCCCTCATCAGTGGCTGCTAAATGAAGATCAAATCGAAGAGAAACAGATTTTTTCCTTAATCGAGGATTATCTTTAAAGAAGGAGCCTTCCCATTCTTTGATAACTTCATCCACTTTCTCTGTCCTGAAATGATAAAAGAAACTTTTCTGTATAAAAATGTATGAATATATTGAAATAGAAGTAATGTGTATTCCTTCTGGAAGAGAAATCAAGAAATTTCTATAATTTATAAATTGGATATATTGAAATAGAAGTAATGGGTATTCCTTCTGGAAGAGAAATCAAGAAATTTCTATAATTTATAAATTACATACTGTTATTAACAACAATTTATATTACAGAATTTATAACATATATATTGTGGAACTGATCATTCACATGCTTTAAGATCACATGAGTCTGATTTCTAAGTAATTCTATGATGTTCATATTTTGGCTGCATTTTTAGGAAAAATGGTGACTAAACATTGAATACTCCATTGGAGTTTTGTTTTCATATATTTACACGTACCCAATAGAAGGGAGAGGGGAGCGGGTTGAGTTTCCCTCCCCGCCCCAACCAGGGCTCCAGCAGACGAAGACCTCCAGAACCAGCCACCACCATGCTGAGACCACTCTCCATACGCATGAAGGTACCAGCAGAGGAACAAAGGCATGCGGGTCCTGAAGCTGAGATCTCCAAGCCTGCTCGGATCGGGGCTGAGCATCCTCCACCCAGATCCTCCAAATTCCAGTAGGCGGGGGTCACACCCACTAACTGGCCCCTTGGCGCCGTGCAATCCCGTCAACAGCCAAGACCCAGAGACTATAAAATCCAGTTCCCGGAAGTGCGTGCCGCATTTGCGGCCGCGCGACACCTTATTATCTCATTCTTACCTTGGACAAAATGGCAGCCTACCGAATGTAACCTGCCCACACGGCAGAGTCTGGCAAACTCCCCATGGTGTACCCAATATGCCAAAATACCAGTAACAATGATGGGTCTCAATCTCCTAACCCTGGAAGAGCTTTTAATATGGCACTTTTAAAAAAATCTCAGGGCTAGGACGAAGGAGAGATTACTGGGGCCTGCTCGAGGCAATCGACAAACAACAGGATGGTCATGATCATGATCGTAATCCAATAGAAATCACCGTATTAAAATTTAGTTTGAAAATAGTCAAAGGAGACTGATCACAGGTAATTGATCTCTTTAAAAAAGGTATTTTAGATTACTTCGCATTTATTACATATTTAATTGATTTTTTCAAATTACAGAACTGCAAAATAAGTAATTAATGTCTGTTGTTATTCATTTTCATCTTTCACGATCACGATCATGACCATCTTGTTGTTCGTCGATTGCCTTGAGCAGGCCCCAGTAACGTCTTCTTCGTCCTAGCCTTGAGATTTTTTTTAAAAGTGCCATATTCAAGGCTCTTTCAGGTTAGGAGAATAAGCCCCATCATTGTTACTGGTATTTGGCATATTGGGTATACTACGGGGAGTTTGCCAGACTCTGCTGTGTGGGCAGGTTACATTCGGTAGCCTGCCAGTTTGTCCAAAGTAGGAATGAGATAAGATGTCGCGCTTCCGAGAGCTGAGTGTGGAGAGTGGTCCCAGCATGGCCTTGGCTGGGGCCTGGAGGTCTTCAGCTGTTGGGCCCTGGTGGAGACAGTCAGGCACAGGGTAGGAGACTCTGCCTTGTTCTCTCCCAGGAACTGAGTGTGATAATCTCTGGATCCTGGCCATTGTTGGGGTTACACGGCAGTTGGTGGATGTAACTGTCTAGCTACTGGCATCTTTACCTCCTAAAATTAAAAATGTTTTTTAAATTTGGTGACCACACTCAGCTGTGCTCAGGGCTGACTCTTGGCTCTGTGCTCAGGGATCCCGCATGACATAGACCATGTGTGGGTTGCCAGGGATCAAGCTTGAGTTGGCTGTGTGCAAAGCTAATGCCCTAGTCAATGTACAATCTCTCTGTGCTCTGGATTAATTTCTTTGAACATGTTCATTGTTTTGCGGTCAAAATTGTTGTACTTACTGAATAGTGCCATGAGCTTCGGTGCTCTCCTTCACGACATTTCCATTTGATATTGCCTGCGTGGTCACTGTCTCCACTTTCTCATTCTCACATTTTGGTGGGACTTTTGTTGAAAAAGATATTTCATTTATAATGGCTGAAAAATATTATTTATGATATATTATGCTGCAGTATTGAATATACATGTACATTATACATACTATACATGCTAAATATACGTACCATTAAATATACATGTCAAATAATGCTTTTTTTTTTCTTTTTCATCACACCTGCCTGGCAATGCACAGGGGTTACTCCTGGCTCTGCACTCAGGAGTTACTCCTGGCGGTGCTCAGGGATGCTGGAAATCGAACTCGGGTTTTGGCTGCGTGCAAGGCAAACGCCCTATCCGCTGTGCTATCACTCCAGCCCCAAATAGTGTTTATTCTTGCTACCTTTATTTAACTTATTTTTAATCCCTGTAAATGGAATTTCACTTTTTTTTCCCGGTCCACACCCAGCAATGCTCAGGGGTTATGCCCTGGGGATCGTGTGGGATACTGGAAATCAAACCTGGGTCATCTGCATGCAAGGCAAATGCCTTACCTGCTGTACTATCTCTCAGGCTCCAAGCCAGCTTAATTATATATCAAGTTAGCTTAATTATATCAGAAACTCACCTGAAGGTAAAACAAAACCAACTCTGTGTGTGGTAGGTTTTCGTTCTTTTTTCTTTTCTTGAATACAACCATAATACCTGAAAAATTGGAAAAAATTATATTACAGGAGCAGAATTGTGCTAGCAGATGATTGAGAACAAGGCTCAAAGTAAGAAAATATATAGTCATATAATGAATATCGAACTCGGGTCGGCCCGAGTTCGATTCCTCCGCCCCTCTCGGAGAGCCCGGCAAGCTACTGAGAGTATTCGATATGCCAGACACAGTAACAACAAAGTCTCCAATGGAGACGTTACTGGGCCCGCTCGAGCAAATCGACGATCAACGGGAGGGCCTTTACCTTATAATGAATATGTTGTTTTACCCTGAAAATAAATGAATGATGTCTATAATCTTTTAGTGGATGCATTTCTTCAGTACACATTAAACTAAAATAAAAGGGAGGTACGTTGTAGCTCACTTTATGAAGTTTAATACGCAAAAACAACTCTATAATTTCTTTAGAGATGCCTATTGGTATAAAGGAATGTCTGAAACAAATGAGCGTCATTTTGGGGGCCACCATTGGGTTGAAGGACAATGATGTGATATGGGGAAAGTGGTTTAAATGAGTGGGGTACTTTGCTTACATTGTAAAGGCTTCACTTCTTAAGCTGTGAAAAGCATCAGCAGGGGAGCTTTTTGCATTTCCCCCTCCCCTGCTTTCTGATACATTTTGTTTTATTAATTTATTTTTTATTTTTAAATTTATTTATTTTACTTTTTAAATTTCTAGTACATTTTAAATATAGCATAATACAGAGTAAAAAATTATAAGAATATGAAGTGTCACTTTTCTTAACATCTTAATGAAGACTAAATAAAATTTACAACCATTTATTTCATAATAAATTTTATATATTTGCATAACTTACAAGCACTTTAAAACATTATATTTTGTCCTCATAGAAATTCTGTGAGGGAGTTAAGATTGTTCCTATTTTATATATGAGAAAACTGAGGTACAGAGAAATTCAGTAGCTTGCCTGGCATCACTGATCTTGTAAGTGATACAAGATCACTTGGGTGTGACACCCAGTACCAAAATTTAAAAAAAAATGCATGAATACATTTTAGTGCTGGGAATCTACCTGGGTAGTTCTCACACATTATACATATATACATATATATATACACACATATTTACATATATTTCATTTCATTTCATTTCATCATCCTGTTAATCGTCGATTGCCTCGAGCAGGCCCCAGTAACGTCTCTTTCATCCTAGCCCTGAGATTATATTCACGGCTCTTTAGGAGAATGAGAGCCATCATTGTTACTGGTATTTGGCATATTTGGTAGGCCACGGGGAGTTTGCCAGACTCTGCCCTGTGGGCAGGCTACATTCGATAGCCTCAAGTTTGTCCAAAGTAGGAATGAGATAATAAGATATATATTTAGAATGGATTTAGTAAGTGTCAAGACATAGGTTCAGGTAGTTTCATCAAGCTTTATAAAAGACTCTGAGGCAAGAAAGAATAACGATGTCTTTTTGGGAACGGGGTAATTGGAGGTTGTGCTATAGGTTGTGCTATATTCAGAAGCACATGAGCTTATAAATGATTGCGGTTTATGAAACTGAATTAGTCAATTCTCTTTTTATTTCCTTTGTTATCAAGACATTTGAAAGTCTTTTAAGCCATGGACGTAGAACAACCTTGCTTTTTATAGTAATATAACCAGTATCTCGCCCGCACGGCAAAGCCTGGCAAGCTACTCATGCCAAGCACAGTAGCAACAAGTCTCACAATGGAGACGCTACTGGGCCCGCTCGAGCAAATCAATGAACAAGGGGAGGACAGTGCTACAGTGCTACATGAGGTGATGTTAGTGATGATGTTTGTTATGTGGTGAAAATGGACCTGGGGGAGGGGAGGCAAGTGGTAATAACACACAATTTTTCTAAGATTGATTGGTGGGTGGTTCCCAACAAACACGAATTCTAATACAGATAAACTGCAAGGGAAATGAGAAAGTCAAAGAAAGTTCATTTTTGTGGCAACTGAGAATTGTTTTAATTTTGTTCTCAACAGCTACCAGCTCTTGGTTGCTGATAACCATTTATAATGTTGGAAGTTCTCTCTGGCACCTGCCAAACTTCACTTTATTGTGGGAATTCAGCAGACTGTAGCGATGTTGAGATTTTGGTTTTCAGTTCTCTGACCACAGCAACAATGACATACATAACCCTGGATTTCAGGCCACTCTATCCACGAGCTAGGATTTGGTACCTGATTTCTTCCTTTTCCAGGAGGCGGCGATAGGTTGCTATTTCTTGTTCTAGCCTCATCTTCGTGTTGAGAAGCATCTCGTGCTCTTGAAGCTGCTTTTCGATGCCCCGCCTCACTTCCTGGAGCTCTGTCTCTAGTCCCTCAATCACAGACTCCAGGTCTTGCAGTTGCATCTGATGCTGCTGCTCACTGGCCTGGAGGGAGTTTTCAAGGCCCCTTTCCTATTTGATAGAGATTATCACCAGTAAATTGGTGAAACATATTTCTGAAACCAACTCCCAGTGTGTTCACTGGGTTGGGTTCTCTTCCTTTTAAAAAAGGTGGCAATACAATAGATATGGAAAGAACCCCCCCTCCCCTGACCCCCCCAGTCCAACTACAGAGGTCAAGAAGTTGTGATATATATATATATATATATATATATATATATATATATATATATAACACAATGGGATATTATGCAGCTCTAAGAAAGGAAAGTCATGCAATTTGTATTGGAACTACCAGGTTATCATGTTGAATGAAGTCAGTGAATAGACACAGAATGATCTCTCTCATATGTGGACTTGAAGATAAACAGCAAGGTAGCAACAAAAGAATAATGACAACCTAATGGGAGAATTGATCTACATAACTGAGTGGGAGGAAAGGGCCTTGGGGGCCTTGGGAGAGGGAGGGGATACACTTGGTGTAGTGTGGGAATAATGTGCAAGAGAAAAGTATTAATAACATTGTAAACCACAGAATCTCAAAAAATTTTTTTTCTTTTTGGGTCACACCCAGTGATGCTCAGGGGTTACTCCTGGCTCGGCACTCAGGAATTACCCCTGGCGGTGCTTGGGGGATCATATGAGATGCTGGGAATCGAACCCGGCTTGGCCGTGTGCAAAGCAAATACCCTACACGCTGTGTTATCGCTTCAGCCCCATCAAAAAAAATTTTTTTAAGGTGGAAATAATTATATATCTCTTATTCAAGCATCACCTTTGTGATGAATAAAATAATTAAAAAATATGTATAGAATCAGAGTGCTTACTAAGACAAAGAAATCCTGGGCCAGGAGAGATAGCAACAGTCGTCACCTGCAAAAGGCCCAGATTGGGTCTCTGAGCATTGCCAAGAGCAGCTCCTGAGTTGGGAGGAGAGCCTGAGCACTGTTTGGGTGGTGACCCCCAAACCAAATCAAAACCCGGAACCAAATAAAACAATAAAGGAATCATGTGATTTTTTTTTTTTGCGGGGGGGTGGGGTGGGGTCCACACCCTGCTGTGTTCAGGTCTTATTCCTGGCTCTGCACTCAAGAGACCATTCCTGCTAGTGCTTTAGGGACCATACACAGTGATGGGAATTGAACACTCATTAATTGTGGGCAAGGCCAAACACCTTATCTGCTGAACTATCTCTCTGGCCCTTGAGATAATTTTCAAAGTTTCCCCCTCCTCCACCCTTTTCATCTCCCTGCATAATTATAACTGTGATTTATTTGATTGACTCAAGCCAGAGTTTATAAATGGCATTTTGGGGAATACCAATTTATTTATTTATTTATTGGCATTTTGTGTCACATCCAGTGATGTTCAGGGTTTTCTCTCTGTTCTGCACTCAGGAATCACTCCTGGCAGTTCTGGGGGACCATATGGGATGCCAGGGATCGAACCTGGGTCAGCTGCATGCACGATAAGCACCCTACCCATGTACTATCACTCTGACCCCGGGAAATGCCAATTTAAAGAACAACATTTAATAAAATAATCTTTAAACCAATACTTAAATGTTCCACATTTAAATATTTAAAATAAGTTCAATATTTTTCTATTGAAAGTCTCAACAGTACAAATAAAAGTCCCAACTATTATTTATTTATTTATTCACTTATTGGCTTTGGGGACATATCCAGAGGTGCTCAGGTCTAACTCTTGACTCCGCTCTCAGGGATTGCTCCTGACAGTGAATGGGGGACTATGTGGAGTGCCAGGGTTCCCTCCCAGGTCGACCACAAGCAAGGCAATCATCCTGCCAAGTCTACTTTCGCTCTAGCCCCTATTCCCAACTGCTTGATTTTGGATAATGGTCATGGCTCTGTTTCTCCATGCCAACAATCAGGAAATTGCAGGGCGTAAGCCATGGTGAGGATTTCCTTTTCACAGTGTTAACTGAACTGTCAGTGAATTGATGATGGCCATTGCATGAAGGAGTTGACTAGAACTGGGGCCAGAATTCAGGGGCTCTCTGTCTGCAGTGGGCATTGTTCCTTTCCCCCACTAAGCCTCTGGGCCTCATTGAGCCCATGGATGCTGAACCCACTCTCACCACGGCATGGAGAGACTCGATTTCCACTTGCAGATGGTGCCACTGGCGCCGAGCCTCCTTCAGTTCTGCTTGGGCAGCCCTTAAAGCCTCTTCATCTTTGTCCATTTTTTTGCTTATATCTTCTTCTAACTATAAGAGAGCCAACAAAAACAATAAAACACAACCACAACAAAACCACAGAGCTCTTGAAAAGGAAATATTTGGAAGCTATTACAGAAATCATGGTTTTGGAATCAATTTTTTTTCTTCTCACTCATGAGATTACTAACATATTTTTTTATCCAAGCTGTTAATTTGATATGTGAGCAAGTCAATTTCTTTCTCAGCCTTAGTTTTATCAGGTGTAAATGGGCCCTAGAAAGTTCCCTTCCTTAAAATAGAAAAATAGTCTATTTTAATAAAGGCAGCGGTGTCATTTGACTATTGTTTGAGACTCCTAACTCTGAACTTACCATTATTTATGGCATCATTAAGGAAGAAGTATTGAAAATTAGCTGTTATTTCCACTCATCCTTTCTTGCAGGCTTCTTTATAAAAGCAAATAGTTATATATCCATAACTGATCAATCGATTCTGGGACTGGTTATGTGGACAGGAAGTAAATACTGCTGGGAAGTATATTGTGAATAATTTAGAACTTTAAGCTCTCATAGGCATTAGAGGAACTAAAATAGACTTCTTGCCTTCAGAGAAGCCCCTGTTGAAAAAAACTCTGTTTCAAAACCATCTTTTTAGATGGTCTGTTGATTTGGGGTATCTAGGACAGCAGCAAAGGTGATTTCTCTTTTTTTTTTGCTTTTTGGGTCACACCTGGTGATGCACAGGGGTTACTCCTGGCTCATGCACTCAGGAATTACTCCTGGCAGTACTCAGGGGACCATATGGGATGCTGGGAATCAAACCCGAGTCGGCCACGTGCAAGGCAAACACCCTACCTGCTGTACTATCACTCCAGCCCCAAAGGTGTTTTCTTTAGAACTTGTTTTCTAAGTGCTCACCTTAAACAAGACATGGATTATGTTGTATCCAGCTTTAAATGTTCATATACCAATATTGGGATTAAATAAATTTCTTTGGACTGATTCTCAGCATTTGCCCCCAAGTATATTAGGAGAAATATATATTAAGGATTTTGAAGCAAAAATTACAATTTAAAAAATGTTCTTATTAAAATGCATTTAAAAATAAACAATTAATTGATAGTGCAATAGTTTTCTGAATTTGTGTGTGTGTGTGTGGGGGGGGGGTGGGGTGGGAGGGCTGTGGTATTGGCCATACCTGGCAGTGCCCAGGGGCTATTCCTGCTGACTATCAAAGCATATTTGAAGGGAGCACATCAATCTCTGTACTATCTCTTCAGCTCCTGGGGCTTTCTTTGTTTTTTTTGGACCACACTTGGTGATGCTCAAGGCTTACTGCTGGCTCTTCACTCAGAAACCGCTCCTGGCAGTGCTCGGGGGACCATATGGGAGGCCTGGGATCAAACCCAGGTCTGCTGCGTGCAAGGGAATTGCCCTACCCGTTGTACTATTTTTTTTCCAGCAATCCCCTCTCTCTCACCCCCTCACTAGAAGGAGAATCAAGGGGCCAGAGCGATAGTCCAGCATTTGCCTTGCATACAGCCTACCCGGGTTCCATCTCCCGGATCCAATATAGTCCCTGGAGCACTGCTGGGAGTAAATCCTGAGTTCAGAGACAGGAGTAAGCCTTGAGCAGCCAGGTGTGGCTCCCAACCCCCAAAAAATTACAAAAAAAAAAAAAAAAAGAAATTGAGTCAAGCACAGTGGAAGCATAAAAGTGCATATGTCGGGGGCTGGAGTAATAGCACAGCGGGTAGGGTGTTTGCCTTGTACGCAGCCGACCCGGGTTTGATTCCCAGCATTCCATATGGTCCCCTGAGCACCACCAGGAGTAATTTCTGAGTGCATGAGCCAGGAGTAACCCCTGTGCATTGCCGGGTGTGACCCCAAAAGAAAAATAAAAAAGCATATGTCCTGGTCTTTGGAACTTTGAATGGGGACCTGGCAGCTGGGCTCCTGTGGTAGCCAGATCCAGATGACTGCCCATCTTGGACCCCTCCCCACACGCCGTTGGACCACAGTCTCCCAAATTCACATCCTCCTGCAGTCCTCCTAGACAGATAAGGACTCTGCTGCAGTGCCACTCTATGCCTGTGCCCGAGGAAGCCCTCAAAACAGCTACTTCCATGTCCTGGGAACTTCTGCCAACAAGGAAGAAGTCTGGAAGTCCAGCTGGAGAGATGATGAGGAGGTGACAGAAGGAGAGACACTGTGAAGCTAGACAGGGAGAATCAGGGCCAGTTCTCGAAGCTGAGCGTGTCTTCCAACATCCTGCCAAGATGCTCTACACAAGAGTCAGCCAGCTGGGATGCCCCCACCCCAGCGTGAGTGCTGGCCTCGACAATGGCATGTGTAGCATCTTCCCCCACCAAGCCCAGTCACCTCCAGAGTCCTGAGACAGAGAACAGGGTGGTTTTTAACCCACTTAGTTTGGGACTAGAAGTTTGTGATATGGTAATAGGTAACAGAAATCACCTATACATCCTTTCTTTTTAATATTTAATCTGAATTTCTTGAATTTATTTCAGTGAACTTTCTAAATTTTTTGAAAATCATCCACAAAAGAAATTTTATGTTAAAAAGACTAAAAACATTTTACTTTATTGATGCTTTTTTCAATTAATTCTTTTCAGCATTGTGAATTGTAAATAACTTGTGTATCTAACATTGCATGATAAAAATATTTGACTACATCTGAAATTTTCAACTATTCATTTTTACTTCTCTTTGTAAAAAGGTGAACTAACTATTCAAATACTTAAATAGCCCAGCACATTTGCTTATTTTAATAATGATAATTTTTTATGAGTAATGAAAATGTTACCCATAGGTAAAATTTATAGTGCTTCCAAAGATTATTTACTAAGAAATTCATATGATTTTCCAGCAGTAGTTTTTCCCTTTTGATGATATTTTAAAGTAAATTCTTGTCTGTATGAATACTTAGAGTAGCACTTGAATACCTATATGATAGGTAAACTAAAAGCAATCCCTGAATTTCTGAATTTGCCTCTAAAATATTTGTTTGTCTACTTGTTTAAAGATTTGAGACATTAACTAATTGATAAAGGTGCACTCTGAAACTGAGTATATAAAATCAGCCCTTATTTGAATGGACTCAATATTAAAATGTTATATTGTTTTAAATGCAAAATTAAATATTAAATTCTTCATATTGGAAATAAACATTTTTCAAACAAAAAGTGCAAAAGCACAAATCTATCATCTAAGTGGAGAGTCGATATCAGTTTGGGGTATTTGGATTGTCCCAATTTGTATCATTGTCTCCGAATGTCTTGTTCACGAAGTTACATGATTTCTATTTATAACTATGTGACATAAAACTGAACTCATTAAAAAGATGATAGGAAGCTTTTAGAAAGATTTTACTCAGTTTCACCTCTATTTAGTGTGCAAGTAATAAGCCTTACTATAAAACTGTCATTTAAAAGGTGCTATTTAAATGATCCCTAGAAATAAACTCTGGAACATCTTTGAAGGGTATTTGAAATGCCTTCTCCCCAAGAGAGGTCCATAAGAGGTTAGAGTGCACCATTTTATTGCAGGTTGACCTCGTGTCTTCTTCATAATAGGCACCTCCTAATTTCTATACAAAAATGAAATGCACCAACCGACCTCAATTTCATGGCAGAATTTATCCCAGCCTTTCCCCCTGGTAGTCCCAGTCCCATTGCAGTAAAACCGAAAATTCTTTCCCCAGTAAATGCTGCATTGAAAAGGAAATACTGTACCTCAGAGAGGCCGGGACAGGGATTGGATAGACATGGACTGTCTCCTTCTCCTGGAAGGTGCCTGTCTGTATGAAATCATTACCTGGATCCTTGTTGAGAGCACGGTCTCTATCTGATTTCTGGTGAGGAGCTTTTCATAGTTTGCCCTGATCTCATTGAGTAGCTGGGACAGCTCCATTCTTTTCCCATCCTCCACCTTGGCTAACTGAACCTTATCGATGATGGGCAGAATCGCTGCGGCAGAGGCTGAGCCTGCTCGGTCTGCATCGCGAGCAGAGCGAGCCCCGCGGAGCCTTAAAGATGCAGCGCTCTTTTTTCCCAGCCTGGAAACTGAAGGTTTCCGCCTCCCGGGGAACTGCTGGTCAACACTTCTCCTCTGGTTGTTGGTTAAGAGGAAGGGTCAGACTCTCCGGGAAGAAAGAAGGGGAAAACAGAAAATGTTTTCAGTACTCCTGCAGGCATGTGTGCTCTGTAAAATGGAGCACTATAGTGTGAAACAGGTAAGGAGTGGAATGGGATAGACATGGACTATCTGTCTATTCCCTGAAGGGGCTGGGGCCTCTCATAAAGGAGACACTGGTTGTTTTGTAGGGACATTGCTTGGGAATAAATCGAGGTCCAAAGCACAATAGCTGAACTATTACTATTTTTTGGGTCACACTCGGCAGTGTAAAGGGGTTACTCCTGGCTCATACACTCAGGAAATACTTTTAGTGGTGCTCGGGAACCATATGGAATGCTGGGAATTGAACCCCAGTCGGCTGCGTGCAAGGCAACCCCCCTATCCGCTGTGCTTTCACTCCAGCCCTGCTTTATTACCTCACCACTTAGATGATTGAAACAGAAATGGTGTAGGAGTAATTAGAATATGTGCTGCATCCTGAATGTTCTGGCAGCTTTGGGGAAAAGCTATCATCAGATTCAGTTGACAAGTGTCATTAGCCACACGCCTTATTGTATTTCCTCAGGTGCCATATGGGGTGGCTCTTCAAGGGACACTGGCCTTCAAAGTTTGGTGTATTGGAGGGAGATCCTGAAGGCAGATTACAGATGAAACTCTAGCTACACAGGGTACAAACTGAGGAGTAGAGTGGAGAGCTGACATTCCCAACATTTCAGCACGGTGGGAGAATATATATAGCCTGATGGTTTCTGCTTGGGGGTTACTCTGTAAGATCTGGATCATCTGCCCGTTCATTGCTAAACATAGTTATTGGCCACTCATGCTTGAGAATGTAATGTTTGTGCCTCTCTTCTGACTTGAAGAAGCAGCTCCATGATTTCTCCAATCTTTGCATCCCTGTGATTTTGTCCCCTAGAAGGATGAGCTGGCTGAGGTGGGAGAAGTGAATATGTCCTAGGAGTCTGGGGCTGCTCAAGGAAGCAGTGGTCACCTCCGGACCGGACCGTGTTTGCAAGGTGCATTTCATGCATCCCTGAGTCGGCCTGAACATTCTCTTACTCCTCATGCAAATTTCTGGTTCCATTCATTGAGATGGGACTGAAAAATTGGTGAAAATAAAGTTATCCTGATGATTATTTCTTAAGCTGACCGGCTGCAGCTATATCCCGAGTCATTTAGGAAATAATCTGTCTTTGGCTCCAGTGCTCATAGGGCCTTTGAATGTGCTGTCCACTCTTTCAATTTCAGGATGGGCTCAGTGCAAGCCAGGCCTGTGTCCAACAATGACCTCCAAACCAATCTGGCTACCCGTGGCCCTGCTGAGAGGATAGGTTCCGGAGCATCCCCCTATTCTCTTTCACCTCACCACCCACTTTTCCCATCCTGGGACCAAGGCATAGCTAGTGAGAAACCAATGAGGTTTGGTGAATCAGCATGCTGTGATGTGGGTGGGGCCATAGTTCAAGGGGTAGAACACACATGCTTGTCATGTGTGAGACTCTGAGTTTGATTCCCAGCAGCACTGATGGATGTGGCTCTGGTGGCATCCCAGTGCGATGGGTTGAGTTTTGCCAGATATGACTCCTATATAAAAAATGCTCTGTGGCTGGAAAGATAGTATAGGGGTCAGGTGCTTGCCTTACATGCAGCTGACCCAGGTTTGGCCGCTGATACTTTATATGGTACTTCAGTATCTCCAGGGTGATTCAGCTAACCTGCATTCTCACGTCATGGGAGGCAACTACCCCACTCCCACAAAACAGAAGTTGTGAAACCAAGGGTATATTATGAGTTTCTAAGAAATGAATTTTCTTACTGCACCCAAGAAACAGGAAATGACTTCTGTGCTTGATAGTGGGAAAAGCAACAAAAATATGAAAGATTAGGCTCTAATTTCTGTATCTCTGGCTAATCTCTTTCTCAAATGTAGAGAGCTGAACCAGTTTCTGTAAAGGGCTGGTCCTGGCAAATAGTATTTTTTGGGGGGAGTAGGGCTTCTAAGTAGTGCTCAGGGAGTTCCTCCTGGTAATTCATGGCCTACCAGGCCAATAGGTTGGTGCTAAGGCCCACTGAGGCAGATCTGCTTGGGCACTGTGGTGCTGGGGACCATCAGGGCCATTATACCAGGGACCTGATTTTGAACCCTGGCAGTGTCCCAGGCCTTCCAGGGTTATACCTGGCAATGCTCAGGGCCTCTAGAATTACAGGATTCAAAATCAAGTGTTTGACAAGTATCTCCCCAGCCCACAATCTTTTTTTTTTTCCTTTTTGCATCACACCTGGCGATGCACAGGGGTTACTCCTGGCTTTGCACTCAGGAATTACTCCTGGCAGTGCTCAGGGGAACCATATGGGATGCTGGGGATCGAACCTGGGTTGGCCATGTGCAAGGCAAATGCCCTATCAGCTATATTATTGCTCCAGCCCCTCCCAGCCCACGATCTTAATGTTCAAGTGGTCTCCTATTTAATGCACTCCAAAACTTTACTGCTTCTCAATAGAAATAGAATACCAGCCACAAACACCAATTGAGAGGTCAATTGGAAACTTTCCGGTAGTCATATCAAGATACATAAACAGCGATGGGTGGAAAGAATATTAATAGTGTGTTTTATTGAACTTGATATCCCTAAGGTATAATTATCCCAACATGTCATCAATATAAACTGTTGAGGTATTTTACAGTCTTTGTTTTTGATACTATCTTTGAAACCCAATATGTAGCTTTACAGCCCATCTCTGGACAGCCAGTGCCAGTAGCCACGTGGCTGAGGGCTCTGGGTTGAGCAGTGCAGTTCTCCTGGTCCTGAGGGCTCCAGGCCTGGAAAACTCTGCGAGCATTTTAGAAGAAAGGAATCTGTGCTAGATATTTTGGTTTTTGAGGGAGAGAAATATTTAGAAAGGTTTTCTATAAGCATGTGAGTAATGAAGGTAACTATCTCAAGACCTTAAAAGTCCATTTTCAAGGAAAAAATGGTGCTTGTTTACTTTTGTGGTACTCCTTCAAGGGACCAGGGAGTGCTCTTAGAGTCCTCTGCCCAGCCGTGGGAACCCAGTGGTTCAGGCCTGGTGCAGCGGGGTTGCTCAGGTCCAGGGTGCTGGGGGCCAGCTGGGAGACACCAGTCAGCATTTGGGATGTCATGTAGTGCTGTGCTGGGGATGGAGTTGAGGCCCCACACACACCAGGTACGTGCTGTTGGGCTTTGAGCTTTTCCCCCGTCTGCTAACTTACCGTTTAAAAATGCTGACCTTTCTTTTTAAAAAGCCAGTTAACTAAAACTCATGAAACAAGTAGGTATACATAAAATTGCAGGACCTAAGAGATTTTTAGTGTGGGAACTATCATCAAACTATTGCCTTAAGCTGTGGAAATCATTATAGAATGCAAAAACCTTGAATTCATTCTGATGGTTGGAAAAATAGAGCATCTGAAAACACATACCTCAGTGGTAAGAATGAGTTAGTCACAGTAAATCTACAATTGCCCAAAGGCTGAGATTGAAGACACAGGCTTAGGTTTTAAGAGTGAACCCCCAGGGCTGGAGATATATAGTAGTTCAGGTAGTTGCCTTGCAGGTGGCTGACTTTGATTCAATCTCCTGTACTACATATGGTTTCCTGAGCACTGCCAGGAGTGATCTCTGAATGCAGAGCCAGAGTTATCACTGACTTTGTCTCCTTCCCCTTCCCCCCTCAAAAAAAGTCATAGTGGTTAGAATTTAAGACTGGGGTTACTTTTTCATCCATTCATTTCCTAATTGGATGGCCACTTTTTTTTTAGGTGAAGCAATATGGTCTTTATTGAAAGAAATCTAGAGAGATGTGAGGAAGGGGGTGGAGAGAGAGATACCGAGAGAGATAGAGAGAGATATATAGAGAGATAGAGAGAGTGAAAGTGAGACAGAAAGTAAGACAGACAGAGAAAAAGAGAGTGAGAGTGAGAGAGAGAGTGAGAGAAACACAGAGATACAGAGAGTACAGAGAGAGAAGGAAAGAAAGGGAGATATAGGGAGAGAGACAGGGAGATACGAGGGGGAGAAAGAGAGAGAGAGAGAGAGAGAGAGAGAGAGAGAGAGAGAGAGAGAGGTGTTCAGTAGAGAACAAGGGCTTGGAAGAAAAAAGCCTCCAGCAGGCCTGGATGGCTACCTGGAGCGCAGATAAAGTGCTCCAAGAGTTTAGGAGAGTAGCAGTGACCTTTATGAGGACACACAGAATCAGAACACTGATTCCGGTTCGTCTACTGAAAAGGCAGGCTGCTTCATTTGGTCAGAGGGGAGTGTTATTCCTAGTTTATAAAATGGGGTGTCCCATGGTCACATTGATTTGGGAGCCAGTCTAATGCCCAAAAAAGTAGCCTTCATGAAATGAAACAAAGCTATTTTTTAATTCAAACTAAGCGGTGAGTCTCATGACCAAAAAACTAGCCTTCGTGAAATGAAACAAAGCTATTTTTTAATTCAAGCTGATTGGTTCTAGAAAGTTGAATTTGAACAATGCCATGGCACAGAGCAGGAAGGCAAGTAGGGTGCCCATGGACTGGGGCAAGAGTGGCTGGTTATGAAGGAAAGGGGAGGAGCAGGCAGAGATAACCCAGACTGAACTTGTGACTAGAACGTCTAGGTTCCATGATTAGAAGCTGGGAAGAGAGGAGGGTAATTAGAGTGAATGACATCCTGACTCTTCAAGCAGCCTGAGGCAGGGGCGAAAGGCAGGCATGCCCATTACTAGCAAGGTGAGCTGAGGTGACCCTTCATTTGAACCTTGATGCTCTTTGAACTCCAGTTTCTGTCTCTGTCAAATGAGAT